GGAATTCCCCAAATAACTACCCCTCCTGCCCAGCCTGGCATCCCTGTCTGACTTACAGAGAAGTCTCACGCCCCGTACTTAACTTATTCCATCACCTGGTCATCAATCTCTTCTTCCCACTCCTTCTACTCCCTACAACATGGCAACTCTGTTACTTGATCAATGGTTCACTTCCTCTGTCAGAGATAACTAGGATTTAGAGCTAGAGGCATAATTTCTATATAAGACTAGAAAGCAGTACTGTCATCATGTATTATTGAGATCTTAATTTAATTCTTATTAAAGGGGAATTGAATTGACTGGATTAGTGAAGGTTCACTCTATTCTTTCCTCTCAGAGGGATGACTAAATTCATTTCAGTGCCATATTTGGTAGTGGGATATGGGAATGGAGGTTTCCATAAGTCAGAGTAGGCGTGTGGTTTTCTAGAAAGGAAAGTCTGCCTTCATTGGATGGACCAATAAAGTTATTGAAGTTCTGTCTGACAGGGTTCTCCCCAGTCTCCTTGCATGTGAATGAAGTACTGTACACCCATCTGAACTGGGCAAAACCAGAAGCTAATGGCAGTTCTGTGGAAATAGATACCCTATTTATCTTCTGATCCAAGAGCCCAGGCTCTATCCACTGTACCACACACTGTTCAGGGTGGTAGTTGTTCCTCTGAGTTCATGTTTACTGTGCAGTGAAGTGAAGTGCAGTGTCCAATTTTAACGATAAAGGCCATATCAATAATAACACATAACCTCCCATTTCTGTTTTTTATCATGAAGCTTAAGGCCCTTCAGATAGAAGAATTATGGGCAATTCTGGGTGTTACTGGCAGTCTTTGAGGATGCCTATTCTGCTTGGTTTGTTTTAATTTCTCCCTTCATTACCAAGAACAATCTGGCACTTACATATAAGAATAAGATGGGGAGGGGGGTTGGAGGATCCACTACAAAGTGCTGGGCCAGGCCTGCCATCTCTTCTGTTGCAGTGGAGTGTCAGACATTGTTATATGACTCCCACCCAGGTGTCTATCATGGCTGAGCAGGGCTGGCTCCCTTAAAATGAGATGAGTGTACTAACAATAAAGGGTGGCAATACAACACATAAAGAAGCACAAAGGAAGTCTTCATCCTCACGTTGAACTTGCCCAGGATATATGCTGATAAAATCAGATCTGAGCATATCCTGAACTCCATCTGTTAAAGGTGTTCACAGCCACTTAGGAGAATGCCAGGCAAGGGGCGCCTGGGAGGCTTAGTCGGTTGAGCATCCGACTTTCACTTAGGTCATGATCTCACGGTTTGTAGGTTCGAGCCCCGCGTCGGGCTCTGTGCTGACTGACAGCTCAGAGCCTGGAGCCTGTTTTGGAGTCTGTCACTCCCTCTCTCTCTGACCCTCCCCTGCTCACGCTGTCTCTCTCTCTCCTAGAAATAAATAAAACATTAAAAAAATTTTTTTTAAATTTCATTTTAGACACTATAAATGTTTTGATATTTTGCCTATGATTCAATTTGCCTAGTTAAAAAATTTACTTTGGCCATATCTTCAAGTTTTTCCTGTACTTTTACAATTACTGACCCTTAATAAATACCGAAAGTGTAGAATTACAGGTATTTGAGGTCCTACTATACCTGGATACATATAAAACAGATAGAGCCTTATAGGTAAATTGTATCTTGAAGAAAACTAAAAAAAAAATCGAAGATGAACTTTAGTTGCCATTTAAATTACATCTATCAAAATCTCACCAAATCCTTGAGAACCACAATGTAGTTAAGATATTTGCCTGGTGTAACCAATCTNAGCCTGTTTTGGAGTCTGTCACTCCCTCTCTCTCTGACCCTCCCCTGCTCACGCTGTCTCTCTCTCTCCTAGAAATAAATAAAACATTAAAAAAAAAAAAAAAGGAGAATGCCAGGCAAGAACGACCTGGCAATACATTTTCTGCCTTCCAGAGTAACTCCTTCTCTTCCTTCCCCAACCTGGCTAAAAATACAGCCAAAGTGACACACACACACACACGCAGGCACACGTGCACACATGCGTGCCCAAGTATACAAAAGACAAACAAAAAAAAAAACAAATTAAAAAAACCTAACATTTGTTGAGCAGATTGTGACAGAATATCAATTAGCCAAGTGTTTGGTATGCAAACATCCCCAGCGCTCACTCACCCAGAGGAGGACTTGGAGGGAGGGGAATAGAGTGTCCGAGAATGAGGGAGGCCAGACAGGCTTCTGCCAGGGCAAGCGCTGGAGCCAGAGCTCTGACTTAACTGGCAAGTGAGAATGGCGCAGTTGCCATCTCTGGCCACTTAGTGGCAGCAGCTCTAGCCAGAGTCACCTCTACCTCAGTTGGTTCTGCTGGATGACTCTTTACTGGAGGCTTCCCTGTGCTAAGCCCTCCGGCAGGCACGGGGGGGGGGGGGGGCGCGAAACATTGGGAAGGTTGCAACTCATTGCCAGTGGTCCCTTTTAGGTAGTGACTGCTTTAGGTTATTCCAGCTCTAAACTCTAAGTCTAGGGGATAGAATCTACTGGAAGCAGGGAGTTGAAATTTCCAAATAAATGGAACTAAGGCATCATGTTAGTTTCTAGTATATATTCTATGCCAGAAGAGCTAAAACTCCAGTGGATGAAGAAATAGCAAAAATAGAAGAAGCTACTGTTCAACTAGAGACACCAATGAAAGCAGCTGATATGAATAATAGTGGGTCAGTAGCAGGCCAGGGAGTAAGGGGAGTCTTTTGCTCTCTTCCTTTGGGTTATAAACCAGCCACTGCAAAGGGAAGTTTGGCTTGAGGATAGATTTGGACATGATCTAGAAGTTCCATGAAATGAAAAGTGTTCACTGATTAATTACATAGGCCAGCATTTCCCAAGATGTGGTGTGCAATCCACTGGGGGAAGGTGTAGATAATTTCAGATGAAGCATCTTTTATTTTAATAGTTTGGTATTTGTTTTACTGTTCCTTAGATGAAATATAATTTATTACACCACAAGCCTGTGATTGGTTTTCTGTTTATAATGGTGATATACAATTTCCATGATATACTTTTAGTAAGAATAAGTGTATCTGAAGAAAAATTTTAAGTAAATGATAATATAGAAGACATTATTACAAGAATATGGCAAAAGTCACAAATAGTGAATGTCCACAATTGGAAAGTTTGGGAAATATTCATTAAGCCAGGGAATTAAATATACTGATTTATAGACAAGAGAGTTCAGAATACCAGATAAGTGAAGGCAAAATGGGAGGATCCAGATTCCAGTTCCAACTGCCACTCAGCCTGTGTGAGACAGGTCTCCCTCTGGATCTCCATTTCCGTATCCAGAAAATGACTCTATTGCTTTACTCAGCCTTATTATCTAGTGGTTCTATTTCACTCATTACTAGTGCAGTTATGAGCAATCATAATAACAGCCAGAGCATTAAGGTTGGCTGTGAGCTGGATACTTTCCATAATCCATCATTTAAAATTTTCATAATAGTCATGAGAGGTAGGTGTTATGATGCCTGTTTCATATGTGAGGGGATTGAGGCTGGACGATTTTAAGTAGCTTTTGCAAGGTTGCACACAACTTGATTGGAATGGACATAGATCGGACTCCAGAGTCTGTGTCTGTGGCTCCCAGCCTTGCTGTGTCATAACAGTTAATTTCTAGTCACCCTTCAAAACTAAGCTCAAGGTCATTTTACTTGACCTTCTCGCTCCATCATGGCTAGTATCCCTCACCTGTGTCCCCTTACTTTTGTATGTTTGCTGCTATTTTAGATTTGTCTTTGTATCCCTAACACACTGCATTGTTTGGGGCAGAATAATCAACAAATGGCAAAAAGAGGGAAAGCGTGAGGGAGAGGGAAAAGGGGAAGACAGGAGAGAGAGGGGATTGGAAAAGAAAATAATATATATGGCTACTTTATTTTATTAAATGTGAAAGAAGTAGAATTGAGAGGTAAGAGAGCAAGGGGATTAAGAGGTTGGTCTCCTAGATCCAAACCACCCAGCTGTGCCACTTACCAGGTGGATGACTAATGGCACAGGGTCAATGCCTGGGCTTCAGTTTCTTCATCTATAAAACAAGGAGATCAATAGTTACTTACCTTTAAGGATGTTGTAGGGACTAAATTAATTACAATGGTGCCTGGGATATGGTAAGCAAGTGTTCAATAAACATTGGCCATTATTATTATTATTATGAAATGAATTACAAAGTGAAAAAAACCCCACAATACCATTACATACATACAAAGCCTCTTCAATTCCCCAGTTCTACTTGTTAACCAGTACAAATTCATACCATGGCAGTTCTGAATAAGAATTATAGCCGCAGGGTACACAATATAATATCCTTATCTTTCCACTTCTGTGCAGTAGAATTAACACTTCTACTCTCAGAACATCTGGAAATATCAATATTAAAATGATCACACTGTATTATACTCTAATTCAGATTTACTTGCTGTCTCTCATTCTCAATCAGACTGAGTTTCTTGAGGGAAAGGACTCTTGTTCGATTCTTCTCTATGTTCACCAATTCTTAGTGAAGAGGCTGGCCAATAAAGGTTCAATATATGTTTGCTGAATGAATATTTTAGAAAATATGTATACATGTGAACAATAAAATTAAAAATACTATGTGACATTTATCATACAAGAAGCTCAAATCAAATGTGATGATAGCTCAAAAAGGAGAGATCACTTCTAGGGAGGAAAAGGTAGTAGACAGAATGGTGAAATCTGAACTTTACAGACAGTCAGCCTTGGTTTTGAGCCCTAACTCTGACATTTAGGAGCTTATAAGACCTTAGGATATAATCTAATCTCTTTAAATCACTAATATCCTTATCAGTGAAATGGGGATAATATTAGTTCGACAAACTAAACAAGATAATATATGTAAATTTTCAGGTACCTGTTATGGGTTTGTAAAGTGGCTAACATATCATCATCACCATCATCATCAAAGGCTTTGTGATGGAGGCACTCAGTATCTGGCATCAAAGGCTTTGTGATTGAGGCACTCAGTATCTGGATGGGCAGACACAGGGAAGAGCACTGAACAGTCAGGAGGTGTGAATAAAGGTACTGTGGGCGTTAGAATGAGCCAAGGCCAAACAGGGAAAGCAAATGGCACTGTTGAATCAGAACAGTGTGGGGTAACTTCAGAAAAGTAATGGGAAGGGAAGGTTGGGAAGTTGGTTTTAAAGGCCAAGCTGAAAAATTTAGTCTTTATCTTGCAAGTATTACTGAGACTTGACAATATTCTACATAGAGTAGTGACCAGTTCAGAGTTAGCCATAGGGGGAATGTTCTGGCTGTTAGTGCAGGACAGTCTAGGGAGGGTGAGGGAAAATGGAAGCAGATAAACCACTTAGGAAGCTTTTCCAGGGCTTCCAATGAGAAGTTGAGGTTCTCCTCTGGGATGGTGGCATGGAGAAGGATAAGAGGGAATGAACATGTAGGACACCGGGAAGAAGAAACTCATTGAACTGTGCCCAGCTGGAGGCTGTGTCCAGTGAGGAGGCAGAAGCCAAGACAATTGGGAAGGTTTACAGCTGGATGACCAGGAGCGTGGCGCCACTACCCTAACAGAAAGAAACCAGAGGAGACTGGTCTTAGGGGCAGATAAATCTGCTTTTCACTACGCTAAGTTTGTGGTGCAGTGGGATATTCCGTAATGAATGATATCCAAGAGACACCTGAACACGTGAGCTTAGAACTCAGACTGATATTTCTTTAGAAGATATCAGCACAGAGATAATAGCTAAAGGTGTACGGTTAGATCAACCATCTAAGTAGGGTGGGAGTAATATAGAGAAAAGATCAGAGAGTCATCCTTGGGAAATACCTCCCACGTCTAGGGGAGTGAAAGAGAAGCCTGGGAGCAAGGATGAGGAAGAGGGAGAACAGGGAAGAACACACCAGCACAGATGCCAAGAGCAGGCCAGGTTTCCAGGAGGGTGGCAGTGCCAGGAGGGATCACGAGCTACAGGAGGCCAGAGAGAACTGTGAAGGGGCCACTAGGCATGGCCTTTAGGAAGTCTCCGATGAAGCATGAGAGAACAATATGTGGAAAGAAAAACCAGAGTGCGGGTGTGAAGGAATCTAGAGGGTGTGGGTCACGGGGTCATGGTAATACAATATGAGTTAGGGAAGTTGGGGGAGAGAAAGGATAGAGACGGAATGGGAGCTCAAGGTGGGAGCAGAATTGTTCTTCTCCCGATAAACTACCACTCACAGTTCACCCAGAGATGCTTACTTGTCTGTACATTTAGAAATAGAAAGAAACCTTGTGGAGGAGGCCAGAGGAGGAACTTTGGAACAAACTAAATTGAAAGCCAGGTCACCGCCATTCTAAAGTCACGGACCGTGTTATCACTATGAGCACAACAGCATCTGTTTTAGCGGAGACAGAACTCATTTATCATGCATCACCAGACTGTGAGAGAGGGAGCCCAGAAACTCTCCCTCCCCACTTAGGAAAACAAAGCTTGATCCACTCTTTGAAAAGAATTCAAAAGCTTTGGAAAAGGATTTTAGCAAGGAAGGAACGCTAAGAAAAAGAAGTGCACAATACCTTCCTTTCCGTCATTTGTCTACCCAGCCACACTCTAGGAAGATGCCTAGGGTGCACCATTAGTAATACTATGCACACCACCCAAGTTTATGACACTCCTATCCACACGGTGCTTTTCATTCTACGGAAAGCCCTCACGATCACTTTTATCCTCACAGGATCCCTGTGAGGTTTTACTTTTTTTGTTTTACAACTAAAGAAACTGAGGGTTAGAAAGAACTGAACTATTTCCAGCCCCACCCCAACCCCCAATTACACAGCCAGGAAATGATATAGCTACGTACTTTGCTCTTTCTCGTACATGTTCTCAAAATCACTCACATGGTCCTCACAGTATGATGTTCTAGGTGTGGTATGACAAACCAAAGGGTAGCAGGACTCTGACCTTCCCCTGGTGTGGGGGCTTTATAATTATATCAGTATAGCCTAAAACTACATTAGCTTTGGAGCACTTTTTTCAGATCATGTTTTGACTAGACAGTATCCTGTTGCTTCCTTCTAACCCCCATCATAAGAGCCCTAAGGCAGAAGTTCTTAGCAATGTTTCCTTCCCTCCCACTCTTGCCCAGTTAATCAGGCCTCTGAAATGCATGAACAAGGCCTCAGTATCTAAACTTGCTCCAGGGGTGCCTGGGCAGCTCAGTGGCTAAGCGTCCAACTTTTGATTTTGGCTCCAGTGGTGATCTCACACTTTGTGAGTTGGAGCCCCACGTCGGGCTTTGCACTGGTGGCGCAGAGCCTGCTTGGGACTCTCTCTCTCTCCCTTGTCCCTAATTGTGCTCTCTCTCTCTCTCTCAAAATAAACATTAAAACACACACACACACACACACACACACACACACACAACTTGTTCTAGAGTCAAGAGGCAAGAAAGCAGTTCTCTCCCTCAATACCTGGTTTGATCTTGTAGGAAGAAGGCTGGACAAGGAGGCTGCAGACCCAGGTTCCACACTCACACCACCAGCCTAGCTCTGTGACCTTACATCACTTAATACTTAGCACCAGTGTCTTGATCTGAAACATAAAGCTTTGTTTTACGTCTGCTGCAAGGATCTGGTGAAACACTTGTGAAAGTATACCCTGTGCTGAGTTTAATTTTCTGCTGTAGCTGACTTGAATTTCTTAATTTTTGAAGGAGGAGCTGCGCATCTTCAGAGCTGGGGCCCTGGGCCCTACAAATTATATAGCTGGTCATGCCTGTGTGACCTTGACCAAGTAACAACCTCTCTGGCCTCCACAGTCTATAATTAATTGAACTGAACTGTTAGGAAATAGACAACCCTCAATCCTTCTTCTACTCTACTTATTAACAAAATTTGCCACAATCGATCGCCCCCTCCTCCTTGAAATGTTTTTTTCCCTGTGGCTTCTGGGACAGTTTACTTTTCCAATTTCCCTCTGCTTCTCTGGCTGCTCCTTCCCTGTTTTCCTCCCAATCTGTTAGCATCTCCCCAACTAAACTCCAGTCGTCTCCTGAAAGCCTGCTGCTCCTCATGTATTCGTGCCAACTCCATCCTTCCAGCTGCTCAGACCAAAACTCTTAGTGGTTGACTATCTCTCACTCCACCTCCAATTTGCAAGCTACTCTGGGAGCTGACCACTTCTTCACCACTGCCATCACAGTGCCTGGCTTCATCACCGCTCACCGGGATTACAGCAAGACCCTTCTAACTGGTCTCCCCGCTTGCACCTCCACCATCACCCCCCACCCCCATTGCTAAGAGTCTATTCTCCACACAGTAGTCAGAATAATCCTTTAAAAATATAAATCAGATCATATCACTCTTCTCTTCAAAACCATCCTGTAACTGTCCATCTCAGTAGAAATCCTTACAAGGTGCAACAAACTTACCTCTCTGAATCTACTTCCTACCACCACAGACCATTTGCCAGCATCCCTTTGCCTAGAATGCCCTCCCAGCTATCAGCCTGGCTGGCCCCTCACCTCCTTCAGTTCTGTTCAACTGTCACCCTTTCGGTCAAGCCTTCCCTGACCATCCTATGTATATATGTATTTTATTTTATTTTTAAATGTTTTATTTATTTCTAGGAGAGAGAGAGAGAAAAAGAGAGAAAAGGAGAGAAAAAGAGAGAGGGAGTCACAGACTCTGAAACAGGCTCCAGGCTCTGAGCTGGCAGTCAGCACAGAGCCCGACGCGGGGCTCGAACCCACAAACCGCGAGATCATGACCTAAGCGAAAGTCGGACGCTTAACCGACTAAGCCACCCAGGCGCCCCTGTATATATGTATTTTAAAGTTTATTTATTTGAGGGGGGAGGGGCAGAGAGAGAGAACCCTGAGCAGGCTCTGCACTGTCAGCGCAGAGCCCGACACAGGGCTCGAACTCACAAGCCAAACTGTGAGATCATGCCCTGAGCCAAAATCAAGAGTCAGACGCTTAACCCACTGAGCCACCTAAGCTCCCTCAACCCTATTTAAATAACAATCAACATCGGCTTTCCCCCTCATTCCTCAGCCTGTTGTTCCCTGCTCAATTTTCTCCAAACTCTGATATAGTACATATGTTTAAAAATTTGCTTGGTGGTTATCTCTCCCCATTAGACTACAGGCTCTGTAAAGGCAGGGACTTTTGTCTTTTAGCTGCCGTATCTCCAGTATGTAGGATGGTGTCTGTGAATGACAGTAGGCAGGGTTCCAGAACAGATGATGGGATTACTATTATTAAGTCACAGCTACATCAGTTCATCTGAGTGTATAAAGTACCTCCACAGGTTTCCTGCCCTGCATACAAGAGTGTGAAGATTTCTGGGGAAGCACTGTGGCAGCCTCTCACTCGACTAAACTGTGGGGATGGAAAGGTGAATCAGGAGAGGTAACTATACCCTAAGAGTTTGTGGCTTAAAGAGAGGTTTTGTGTAACTATGCAAATAACTCTAGAACAAGGCACTGTTTATTAAAAAATATTCAGCCTTTCATTTTATGGCTAACATCTCAAATTCTGGTAATAACCCCAGAGTTTTCTACAGGGAGAAGTGACAATGAACCATGGCTTGTTGTGTGACTACTTCTGTCCCAGACAAGTTCCTGCTCTGGCCTGCTTATCAAATCAAAGACACCTTGCCTGGCTTCCAATCTAGTTTGCTTCAAAGTCCTTCCACTGGCCCCCTCCACCCAATATTGGCTCTATTTACTGTTAACTCAAGTCCTCACCCTCTTATAGTCCCTCCACATTCTGCTCCCAGATACAGGGAACATGAAGCAGGGGTGAAGTCAACTTAGGAAGGTTGCAACAGGGTAGAGAGTCTATTAGCTCCTTGCAATAAAGATGTGCCTATATAAATCTCAAGTGTACAGTGCACAGAATTCAGGAACTATAGCTGTCAGTCTTTGCATCCTGATGTTCTTGCTCAGCATGTGTACAATAGGTGGCATTTCCTAAGTTTGCTGAATCATTGAACAGAATGTAATAAGCCCTGAGTAAGGATAATTTATTTTTTAAATCTTTATTTATTTTTGAGAGAGAGAGAGACAGAGCATATGCAGGGGAGAGGCAGAGAGAGAGAGAGGAAGACAGAATCTGAAACAGGCTCCAGGCTCTGAGCTGTCAGCATAGAGCCTGATGTGGGGCTTGAACTCACAGACTGCAAGATCATGACCTGATGCAAAGTTGGATGCTTAACTGACTGAGCCACCCAGGTGCCCCAAGAGTAAGGATAATTAAGAAATACTTCTGCATCTTCTGTAAGGACCCCAAAGATATTTTATAAGGTTATTTTATTGAGCTATCATAAGAAGAAAACTGTAAGAATGAAAGCATCTCAAATAAAGGGATCAATATTTAAAAGGCCAGTTTAGGAGCGCCTAGGTGGCTCAGTCGATTAAGCATCCAACTTCAGCTTAGGTCATATCTCACGGTTGGTGAGTTCGAGGCCCATGTCAGGCTCTGTGCTGACAGCTTGGAGCCTGGAGCCTGTTTCAGATTCTGTGTCTCCTTCTCTGCTTCTCCCCTGCTCGCACTCTGTCTCTCTCTGTCTCTCTCTCTCAAAAACAAATAAACATTAAAGAAATTTTAATACCAGTTTAAATGATATAGCACTACTACTTTATAATATTCAAAGTTACTTTAATTTTTATTTTATTTCTTTAAACCCTATATCTGAAAATCCAAAAATCCAAAAGAGACAAATAACAAATTATACCTTCCATTCCTTCTAGGACTCTTTTGAATAGAGACTCCCTGAGGTTATCAGAAATTTTAGACCTTTTCTTATGGGAAAGGCTGGAGAACTGAGAAACTTAAAGCATTAGGATATGGTGACTGAAAACCACATTAAGTTTGGGTGATGGGTACATGGGTGTTTGTTATGTAATTCTCACTACTTTCCAGTGTGTTTGAAAAGCTCATTTCTCTCATACATTTACACTACACATACATTTTCATACCCAGACAAGATCAAACGTGAAAAGATAATCTGCCTTATAATCAGTGAGAGGTGCTGTCAGCAATAAGAAAATTTGGAACAGGTAAATCATTCCTCTCCTTGGCTTTCAATTTATCTATATATAAAATGAGGGAGAAGGAACTAGATGGTTTGGGGACCCTTCCACTTCTTATTTTTCAATGTTTATTTTTGAGAGAGAGAGAGAGCATGAGCAGGGGAGGGGCAGAGAGAGAGGGAGACACAGAATACAAAGCGGGCTTCAGGTTCTGAGCTGTCGGCACAAAGCCCGACACAGGGCTCCAACTCACAAACCATGAGATCATGACCTGAGCCAAAGTCAGATGCTCAACTGACTGAGCTACCCAGGCATCCCTAGGGCCCTTCCACTTCTAAATCCTTAAGAGTCTAAAGAAGTAGGAGTTAAATATTCATTTTTTAAGGGTTTTCTCTTTATAAAGGATTCTTTTCAGATTTTCTGAGTTTCTTTAGTGCATTTAAAACTATTACTTGGGGCCCGCCTGGGTGGCTCAGTCAGTTAAGCCTCTGACTTCAGCTCAGGTCATGATTTCACAGTCCGTGGGTTCGAGCCCCGCGTCGGCCTCTGTGCTGACAGCTCACAGTCTGGAGCCTGCTTCAGATTCTGTGTCTCCCTCTCTCTCTGCCCTGCCCCTGCTCGCTCTCTGTCTCTGTTTCTCAAAATAAAATAAAGACATAAAAAAGAAAAACATTTAAAAAAATAGAAAAATGAAACTATTACTTGGTTTACCAAAATCTGGTTACTATATTTTATTATTAATAAAATCAGCTAATACTTGTTAAGCAAGTTCAATATTCTAGGCATATATAAAATGTTTGTACAGATTATTTGATTTAATCACCCCAATAACACCACGAGATAGATACCGATATTGTCCCCATGATGTAGTTAGGTAAATTGGCCCCTAGACTATCTAATTTGCCTAACTAAGCAACATTGGAATTCAAACTCTCTTCAGTCCAATCTATGACTCTAGAATAGTGTTAATCATGCATTTCTCAAAAAGACTGCTCCTATCAGGGTGTGTTCAGTGGTCCTTCCCTACTTGAACAGCCATGGTCCTCTGTGCTTCTTTACCTTCTCAAATGGGAAAACCAGTTGGGGATGGGGGTAATTCCTTTGGTTTCAACTTAATTTCTGTGGCATAACATGGTCATATTTTCATTGAGAAATCTTTTTGACCTTCCCTGGATGAGTAACAGTGGATTTCACTAGTTATCTTAAGGCATTTGTGAATGATCAGGTGAGCAGAAAAGGGTTCAGACTTGCTTTGAGTTCCTAATTTGGCTCCTTGGGTCTATTATCTAAATTTCACAACATGTATAGCTGTGAAATTAATTCTGCAACAGATTTGGGTAAAAAATGCCATATGCAGGAAAATAACATAAGATTAATTTTACATCTTCATAACTTTCACATTATGATTTTTACTTTTTCACAAGAACTCTGAGGTGGGCAAGTCAGGAATTATGTACCCACTCTGCAAATGAGGAAAGAGTCACAGAATGGGGAGGTGACTTATTCTAGGGCATGGACCGGTTAGACCTCAGAGCTAGGGCACTTTCTACACTATGCCATTTCCATATGAAAAAAGGGCCAGCAGACTCAGGCACTTCTTGACAGACAGAAATAAATGACTGCTCTACTGGAGGCTGCGCGATGCCAGGCTGCGACCATGAGGCTCCCTGTATAATTAGCAGCTGTGCTACAGGATGAAGACAGTCGGACCAGCCATGCCCCCTACTCACACCTGTGCAGTCTGATAAAGAAAGCAGAAGTAGCCAGCAGCTGTGGTCCAACTAGATAAAACTTTTAGGCGGGAAGTTAAGTGACAAGTAAACTCGTGTGTACGCGCCTGTGTGTTTAACTGTTGGTGGCTTTGATATTTTTAAAAAGGCTGCTTGTGGAAGTCAGACCAAATAGCAGGAGGTATTACAGCAAGATGAATTCGGGAAAGGACCAGTCTCGCTTGACGCTCCACCAGACACCTGGTCGTCATCAAGAAGAGAACCATGTTCCAGGTAATGAAAGAGATCTTAAGAGGTCCCTGGTGGCCACTAAGATGTCTTAGTGACAGTTGGGAAGAACTGGGGCTGTGATTATTTTCCTAATTTTTATGGCTTTGGCCCCCCAAAAGCACATAATTGAGTATGTTCATATAACCTTGGACGGGAAGGATTGGGGCTGTATAACCCTCTGAGGTGACTTCTAGTACATTAAGATTCTAATAAGCCAGAGAAACCCAAGGAGCTAATAAATTATTAATAATATATTTCCGTGAAAGTTAATGAAAATACCCAGTACTGAATGGTTGTGGTAAAACAACCATTATACCCCTATAGTTCTATGGTAGTGTAAAAGTGGTATAATTTTTGGAAAGAGATCTGGCCTGCCTATTGCCAGGTCTTTAGTAGTGCTTATTCTTTTGACTTCCTAATCTTAGCCTTGGGTCTGGTCTAAAGCAGCATTCCTCAAAATGTTTTGCAGAACCCTGGGCCTTGAGACGGCCCTCAAACTTTTTTGTGCCATGGATCCCTTTCGCACTCTGATGAACCTATGGACCCCTTTTTAGAATAAATATTTTAAATACATAAAATTAATAGATAAGATTCTGAAGGACACAATTGTAAGATACAGTTATCAAAAGGAAAAATCGTGATACAGTGTATAGGCTTATTTACAGATGCATTACATAGCAAGCTTATAGTCATGGAGGGTCTAAAAGCATTGTATCAGATCAAATATATCATCTCAACTAAGTTGTGTTTTTAGGTGTCTGCAACAACTGTAACGTGATATGTAAAAAAATCTGTGATTTCTTTTGGTGACAAAGTCACTTACTGCACAAAAATTGTTGTGGTTTGTCACCTACACTCATAATGGAAGGAAATGGTAATTTAATTAGACATTGGTAAAATAGAGATATAATATCCTCCCATCCAAATTTATCATTAAGAACTCTGTCTAAGAACAAAAGGTGTGGTGGCCCAAGGGGCATGCTCTGTCTTTGGGGGCCCCTCAGTGCAAGTTTGTAATCACTTTACAGGCTCTAAGAAGATCCATTAGCTTTTCACAAACTTAGATGGCAGCAGAGTCTTTCTTTTGACAATAATTTCCCAAAGAACTTCGAGAAACATCATCCTAAGGAAAAAATTCAAAAGGAAAAAAAACTATGCATGAATATTATTACAGTTTGAGCTACAGTGGCAAAACAAACAAACAAACAAACCCCAACAACCCATAAAATTGGCAACAACCAATACATGTGGAATGACTGGGCAAATGGGAATACATCAACTTGATTAAAGTTATAATTATGAGGACTATATCATAGGAACTATTTCTGACATAATGTTAGGTTAATAAATGATAAAATTATGGCATGCTATCATTACAACCTTGTGTAATATGGAGACTAGATAAATATGAGAAATAAAATGAAAATAATGTTAAGGATGGCAGAACATGGCTGCTTTTTTTTCTTTTATGTTTGTGCAATATGTAAAATTATTTTGAAGAAATTGATGGGTTGATAGCACACACAGGTACAAAAACTGACCCTTTCATTAAAAAATGCTTACTGAGTGTTTGCTCCTAGGCATTCTTTGGAGCATAAGGATGAATAAAATATGGTCTTTGTCCTCTAAAAGCAAGGAGAACAGACACCCAGCAAGGGGGGGGGTGGTGGTCTACCACCTTACCATAGGGCTCTTGCTAATAAATGCTACAATTTATCACTATTTCCTATAACTTCCATTTTGATCCTACAGAAACTATTGGAACTTGGAGTCTGCGAAACAGAGAACAACTCAGGAAAAGAAGATACGAAGCACAAGAGAAGCAAACTTCACAATGGCAATTTGGGTATGGTATAATTGCAAGGGAAGAGGAATGGATATTTGTCAAGTATACGCTATGGGCTGAGTAGTGCTCAGTGCTTTTACGCACTGTATTTTATCTGTCCAACAAGTCCATGAATCAGGAGCTGTTATCCCTATTACAATAATAATAATAATAATAATAATAAATAAACTAAATCTCCAAAGGGTTAAATCTCTTGCCTAAAATCACACAGGTGGTGAGGTGGCAGGAACAGAATTTTATCCCCATTCTTTCTTTTTTTTAAAAAATTTTTAAAGTATTTCATTTATTTTTGAGAGAGAGATAGAGACAGTGTGAGCAGGGGAAGGTCAGAGAGAGAGGGAGACACAGAATCTGAAGCAGGCTCCAGGCTCCAAGCTAGCTATCAGTGCAGAGCCCCATGTGGGACTCAAACCCACGAACCATGAGATCATGACCTGAGCTGAAGTCTCGGACGCTTAACCAACTGAGCCACCCAGGCGCCCCTCCCATTCTTTTTAAATTAAAGCACCAGGCAGTTGAATTCTACTGTATAGAGGCCTGGTGTTCTTTCTCCTGCTCTGGTAATATAAACATAGAAGCATCTTGTGGGAAGCAGGAGATACCTTTGAGGAGAGTTCCTGGTTAATTTTCCAAGCTTTCTATTAGTAAAGTCCTAATTGAATGAGTATAATTAACTCTCCATAGAATAAACCAAAACACTTCCTGTAAGTGACAGAAGAGTTTAGGAATTTTTTTTTAATGTTTTATTTATTTCCGAGACAGAGAGAAAAGATCATGAGCAGGGGAGGGTCAGAGAGAGAGGAAGACACAGAATCCGAAACAGGCTCCAGGCTCTGAGCTGCTGTCAGCACAGAGCCCGATGCGGGGCTCGAACCCAGGAACCCGAGCCGAAATTGGACATAACCGACTGAGCCATCCAGGCGCCCCAAGCTTAGGAGCTTTTAAATCTCCAAGCAAAGTCACCTGTATATAATCTTAGGGAGAGAGTGAAAGACCAAGATTATAAGTGAGGCAGCATCTAACTGCATCCATTTAAAACATGACTATGAAAGCAGAGGTACTTGGAGGTGCTTGGAGAAAGAAAAGGGGAGCTCAAGGAGCCAGAGTGCAACACTCATCTAAGCCTGGGTTTCTCAACCCGGGCATTATTGATGCTGCGGACAGGATAATTCGTTGTGTGGGAGGCCGTTGCGTGCATTGGAGACGTTTAGCAGCATCTCTGGCATCTAGAAACCAATAGTACCCCTCCCACCTGCATTGTGCCAACCAAAAATGTCTCCAGACGTTGTCAAATGTCTCTTGGTGTGGGGGCTAAAGGGACAAAATTGCCCCCAGTTGAGAACCACTGATCTAAGCACTCTTTTATTATCATTATTAGGTTAACAGTTAGATTTGCATTTCTTCATTGTTGCGAAAAATGTTTCTTTCGATGGCAAAGATAAAATAGGTATACATTAAAAAAACATACAATATTGATATTTTAGCACCTTTCTTAAGAAAGGGCACCAATCCCTCTGGGGACTGAGAATCTTCTCTTCTGCTATAACACATGTTTCTCTAGCCCCAATCACCTCACATATGATTGGTAAATAGGAGAATGATGTCAGTATAATGTAGAAGTTGTATTGGTTCGTGATTTTTCCTAATCAAAAAGGAATACAATTAGAATCGTCAGCTTAGCTGTTGCATAAGCAGGGTCCTTTGCAGCCGTTACCAGGGCTCCTTCTCAGGAGAATGCCACCAGCGCCACACGTAGGTTGCACTTCCTTCTGGGCCCAGCCCAGTGGCAGCCGTGCTGGCTCAGAGCACCACCAGCATTTACGTATCTCAGCAGCTGAAAGCCTGCACTTACACTGTTGCTTCTGTATATTTTTGCTACCCCCCAGACAGCCTCCAGCCATAGTAGGCTGCCTGTCTGACTACTCAAGATATCTCCCCCAGTACCAATTATTGTTTTTGTGAGTTTAAAAAGTTGCACAGGACTTGAGTTGTTTGCCTTAACACTATTTTCTCCCATAAGTGCTGTACTTTCAGTGTAGGGTTGTGCTGAAAGTGAAGTTTTTTGGGAATGCATATATTATGTTATAGCAGAAACTTCTGTACTTGAGTCCTGTGGCAGGTGACTTGTGGAAGAATATCCTACTATTCCCTAATTTCATACTCTCCAAGCAACCTTCTGATCCTTATTTGGCTTCTCAAATACCTGCTGCAGAGAAAGAGTACATTCATCTGTTAGTCCAAGCATCCTCTGCTGTGTGACTTTGCATTCCTCACCATTCACTTAAAAATTGGATTTTAGGTTTATAAATCAGTCATTTTGATCTGGTTGATGGGTTCTAGCCCAGATAAATGGAGATGGTCTCAGTATGCTGACAGAATTGGATTTCTGGGCTTGCTGGGTGGGGGGTACAAGGCTGAAAAAGTCACTGAAGAAGATGACACCTTGGTGAGCCTCTTGGCAGCTGGCTGGTCTGTACTACTGAGGGCTGTTCTTACTACAACATACCATGCAGCGAAACCTTAGTGGTTCCAGAGAGAAGTTGCAGAGTGTTATGGTTAAGAGCCTTGGCTGTTAAAGCCAGAATGACTACAGTTGAAGTGTGTGGCTCCCTCACTTCTAGCCATTTGACCTTGGACAAGAACATATCTCAGTTTTGTCATATGCCAAGTGGAGATAATAATGGTATCTACCTTGTAAGTTGAGGTGAAGATTATATAACACAATAAGTAAATTACTGAAAACAGTGCCTGGCACTTAAGAAGCACTTTAAGTGTTTCCTATATTAATATGAATAGTAATTTATATGTGAATAACTCATTCCTCTAAGTTATTATATGCAATTCTTAAAACGACCACATGACGTTGGACAGATACCATTTACTCCATTTTGTCTATGACGAAACCAAGGCATAGAGAGTTTAAGTGACTTGCCCATGATCACATAGCTGATCAGTGGCAGAGTACAGATTAAATTTTAGGCCACATAGATATACTTGCATCTTCTGAAAAACTACCAGGAAGGACATAGAACATTACTCAGATTCCCTCATATAGTGATCCACATGACAAGTTATTTAGTGTTCAATATCTAGAATCAAATAAGTGTTTCCTGAAAAAGTCACATACACCATCTTTTAAAAATCTGACAATAAGGACTTTATAATTTATCTTGTTACCTTTGTTACTTGGAATTATACTCTAGAATAGTGAGGTGCCATCCCATCATTTTTACATAACATTTTTCATATATTATTTCTAATACTAATTTTTGACTGTTTTATTTCATATATATCTTTTTAATATTAATTTCAAACTGGTTTTGGTGGGGCAATCTTTAAAAAAAAATTTAATTTTGGAAATTTCAAGCAGAAACGAAGGTGGAATAGGGTATACATTTAAGTGTGCAAGGAATTATGAACACTGCAAAGATAGAAACACACCGGTTTTATCTAGTTTGCTAAAAGAAGTACAAATATTTACTATAAGAATATTTCTCCACAAGTAACAATGGTATGAGGCAGCTTATGTTTCTCACCTTAAAAGCAAGGCCCTGATAATAAATCCTAAGTAAGGAGAGCATTTCAGCCCTGTGGTCTGCAAGGGGAGGCTCTGTAGAGCAGGTACATAGAACAGAATTTCAATAGGTTTAGAAAAAAGATGAAATGTTTATTTTTAGTACCTTCTTCTCCCCACCACCAGCCCATCTGTATTAGCCATCTGCATTTAGTTATAGTTGCAGTACCTAACAATTTGTCATTGGCCGAAATTTCCATGAATGTCCTTTTATCTTTTAGATCCTGAATCTAGCTATTCATTTGGAGTAGGTATGATATGGCCACTCGTACCTTTCCACTGGCCTTCTTTACCTCAAGAAATGTTTTTGCAGCTTTTGACCCAGCTTACAGTACACCTCGTTTGACATGTATTGCTGCTTTTTAGCATTCCCTACACAAGACAGTGAATTAGATAAGCAATCAGATATACATCTTCCGTCTGCAGGCTGTGCAGACAAGGAATTGTGCCTGGATTGCAGATCTAGAAATGCAATTGTATCAGTTTCCCCAGGGAGTAGTGGGACTAACACATACAGACTGAACCTAGAGAGACTACTGTATAAACCACAGCACCAATCTATTAGTTTATAACATCAATTATACGTTTTCCATAACCAATCTTGAAGCATATGCTCTCAAACACACACACTCTCTACACTCACCAAGAAGGTTCCTTATGAGCAAAGTGTCAGAGACAAAACATCTCTGAGGGTCATCTCATCTCCTGACAGCTAAGAGCATCTAGCACTGGCCCCTTCATTTTACAAACAAGGAGGTTGAGGCCTAGAGAAATAAGTGATTTTTTTCATGGTCATGCAACAAGGCAGCAGGAAGACCAGAGGCTCTTATTACTAAGCATCTATTTGAATCTTGTAGTCCCATTGCTGACACTAATTCTGATTTTTCACAGAGAGAAAAAATGCAAGAAGCCAAGGACAGGAAAAGGAAATAAAAGAGGCAGAAAGAGACAACAAAACACAGACCTGAAGGCAGAGCCTCAGTCACAATTTAAAAAGGACACAGGGGAGAAAGCACTGGCGCCTACGGAGAAAGAAACTGAACCGCCTAGGACTATAACAGAAGCGCTCTCTCTGGTAGCCTCTCCCAAAAAAGATGTGCCTGAGAAACAATTTTCTGCCATGGATCAAGAAACCATTGTACATCAGGAAAATTCTTCTGAGTTACAAGAAACAGCAACACAAAACCACCCTTCTGAAACATGCCAAGATATGGCTGACCCTGAAGTCCTCTCTCCTAAAATGTGCCAAGAAACAGCCATACTTCAAGGCCACCCTTCCAGAGTGTGCCCTGATATGACTAAACCTGAAGACCTCTCTCCTAAAATGTGCCAAGAAATTGCTGTACTTCAAGACCATCCTTTCAGAATGTGCCCTGATATGGCTGAACCTGAAGCCCTCTCTTCTAAAATGTGCCAAGAAACAGCCATACTTCAAAGCCATTCTTCCAGAATGGGCCCTGATATGACTAAACCTGAAGACTTCTCTCCTAAAATGTGCCAAGAAATCGCTGTACTTCAAGGCCATCCTTTCAGAATGTGCCCTGATATGACTGAACCTGAAGATCTCTCTCCTAAAATGTGCCAAGAAACAGCTGTAGCCAAAGTCCTTCCTTCTAAAACTGAAGACAGAGCTGACCTGGAAGGGTGCTCTCCTGAAGCATTCCCCACACCAGATGTGCCTAAAGGCTATGCTCATGAAACACACCAAAAAAGAGCTGAATCCGAGGAACACAATTCTGAACCAGATCAAGGAATGGGTGAGATTGAAAGCTTCTTGCCTAAAACAGAAGAAATAGCTGTGCCTAAAGACCCTTCTATAAAAACACACCAAGAAACAGTTGAACCTGAACGCTTCTCTCATGAGACATATAAAGAAATTGCTGTGCCTAAAGCACCCTGTCATGAGACAATCCAAGAAATACCTGCTGATGAGGAATATTCACCTGAAATATACCAAGAAACACCGGAGCCTGAAGACTATGCATCTGAAATATACCAAGAAACACCTGGGCCTGAGGACCTGTCCACCAACACATATAAAAATAAGGATGTGACTAAAGAATGCTTTCCAGAACCATACCAAGGAACAGGAGGGGCCCAAGGCGAGAATCCTAAAGGACACCAGGAGGATGCTGAGGATGTTTATGCTTTTCCTCAAGGTATGGATGGCTTATTGGGACAAGTCAGTGACATTGCCACTTAATAGGATTCCCCATTTATAATTAGAGCATGAACATAGATTTACACTCCTTCAGAGTGCTAATTTATAGACTTCCTTGACAATTGTAGGATACCCCCTGTTATCGCAAGTGATATCATTCATGCCATTAGCTAGTTTCAAGTAAAGAATGTTTTGCATTCAATCAGTGTCTGTTTGGCACATTTACAAAGAATTAAAAGAAAATAATTGACAATATAAGTGTGTATACTAGGTACTTGACATAGTATCCATTCTGGGAAGCTTTAGCCAGTGAAATGAAATAAACGCAATATAGGATGAATTACGTGCAAAATATTTTGAAGAATGATTAAGTTTAAACTAACAAGAAAGCTTGATAAATAAAATTTCTTGAGAATTAAAATTCCCCAGCAAACTAAAGCAAGTAAAGTGTACAAGGTGCCAAGGGGGTTAAAAAGGTACAAAATGTGATCCTGTTACTAAGGGAACTTGTTTTTGTAGGATTTATCAGGTTTGCCAAAAAACCTTTCTATGTCAGTATTTGTTCCTGAAAAGCATTCTCCTAAGCATAACACTTTTAAAATAATGTGACCTTTCTTCAATTTGGCCTTTGTCTCTGGGACATAACTGAGAACCTCGATTCTCTTTGTACAAAACTGTAGACAGTATAAGAAATGGGCTGAGTCTAGCAGACCGTATTTGTTCTTTTGGTAGCCTATTTGTTCTTTTTCCTAAAAGATAAGTACAGCAAAAACATGGGGTTAGTTGGGTTCCAATGGGTACAGGTTTTGAGGAAATCCCTTGAAAAAATTAGGTAAAAAGCAGCCTGCCTCGGCTGACAGGAGCCTCTGTTGGAGACGCACTTCTTATCCGCAAGGCTCAGTTCTAGGTTTCATTCTCACCAAAGTTAATGTGGGCAATTAGTTCATGCTTTTCTTGTTTGGGGTTTTGTCTTGCCAAACAAATGGATGTATATACCGTTTTACTGATTAGAAAATGCTCATAGTAATGAATTATAAATGTTCGTTATAAGTTAAAGCAATATGTAAGTGGTTATAGAGTAAATCCCCTCTGACACCATCTCCTATCTCTGAACCTCATCCTGGAGGTTGTTTTCCTTTGTTTTAACAAATGACATTGTATAATACATTCTATTGTGTGTAAGCTGCATTTTTTCATAATGCAGTATATATCATGGCCATCTTAATGACATCTTTTGTAACAATTGTATAGTATTGTATTATATGTACAATAATTTATCCAACCAGTCTCTGAAATGATGAACATTTAGGTTACTGCCAAGTTTTACTATTATAACAATGTTCAATGAACACCATTGGAAGTAGCATTTATTTGGCACTTTCTATGTGCCAGAAAACATAAAACCTGTTGTGTGAATTATTTTATTCAATGTTAAAAACCCTACCAGAAAAATAATATTATCCCATTTTATAGATATGGAAACTGAGGCACTGGAAGCTTAATTTAATGCTTGGATTTAATGTTTGGATACATTCTGTCAAATGAGCCTCCCAAAATGTTTTAGTAGTCCACACAAACCAAGAGTTTATAGAAGTACTTTTCCCCCAATACTGCACATGATTACATTTAAAATCTTTTCCTGTGTGTTATGTTTTAAAAAAACCAAACAACCTAATTGTTTTAATTTCCACTTTTCTGATAACCACTGCTACTAGACATTAGCATTATTATGAATCTGCATTTCATGATTGTTATAAATTTGAATTTTTTCTTTTTAAAAATTATTTCTTTTTAAAAATTTTTTAAAATGTTGATTTATTTTTAAAATTCTTTTTAACATTTATTTCTGAGAGAGAGAGAGAGAGACAGCATGAGCAGGGGAGGGTCAGAGAGAGGGGAAGATACAGAATCTGAAACAGGCTCCAGACTCTGAGTTGGCTGTCAGCACAGAGCCAGACGTGGGGCTTGAACCCATGAACCATGAGATCATGACCTAAGCCAAAGTTCGACACTTAACTGACTGAGCCACCCAGGCGCCCCCATGTTCAATTATTTTTGAGAGAGACAGAGCATGAGCAGGGGAGGGGCAGAGAGAGATGGAAACACAGAATCTGCAGCAGGCTCCAGGCTGTGCGCTGTCAGCACAGAGCCCGACGCCAGGCTTGAACTCACGAACTGTGAGATCATGACCTGAGCTGAAGTCAGAGGCTTAATCGACTGAGCCACCCAGGCGCCCCTAAAATTATTTCTTTAAAAATGTTTATTTATTTATTTTGAGAGAGAGCACGGACGCATGAGACAGAATGAGGAAGAAAGAGAGAAGGAGAGATAGAATCCCCAGCAGACTCTGTGCTGTCAGTGTAGAGCCTGACACGGGGCTTCATCTCATGAACTGTGAGGTCGTGACCTGAACTGAAATCAAGAGTTGAACGCTCAACTGACTGAGCCACGCAGGCGCCCCTGAATTTTTTCTTTTAAGAATTGCTTGTTTGAATTCCTGTTCCATTTTAAATTTGATCATTTTGGATTGATATAGAAAATCTCTATCTAATATTTAAGCCTTTACCTACATATAAGTTGTCAATGTATTTCCAGCTGTTTGTGGTTCAAATTTATTTATAGGGGTTTTTGTCACTTACATGACAAGATTTTAATTTTAAATTTTAGTTCTTCAAACCTGTCATTCTTTTCCTTTATGGTTTCTGATCTATGTCCTGCTTAGAAAGGCCTTTCTAATCCTAAGATTATAAGAACATTTTATAGTTTACAACATTTATGGTATTTTAATAGTTAAGTCTTTAATTCATCTGAAATTTGCTTTTGTGCAAGGTGTGAGGTAGAGTTTTTTTTTAATCTAGATAGTCAATTATCCCAATACCATTTATTGAACCTAATTTCATGTTTTATTTTACAGAAATGAGAGACAAACCCAAGGCAGAAGAACCAGAGATGCCAGCAATTCCAAACATTCCTCAAGAGATTCATCCAGAAAATGACGTCTATAGTTATGTTTTGTTTTAACGATGCTCAACCATCATAATTGTCCAGCAAAATACACATCTTAATATTCGTGTGATTTTCTCAAAATATTGTATATCTCTACAATACTCAATATTTTAAGTGTTTTTTTTTTCATATATAGGCCACAGTTGAAAAAGAGAACTAAGGTGTTTTTTTCAGGCTCTACCACATAGACGATATCCTGCTAGTTTGTGTGTGTGCGTGTCTATGTATATTGGGTGGTGAATAACTGATTTTTCCCCTTAAGAACAAACCTTTCTTTGGTAGGTTTTTTTAATTTATTTTTTTCCTTGGCTAATTCTTAAAAGTAGAGAGAGTATTGTCTGTTCACTTAAAATTTGGGAATTTCTTGTAAACTTTGTTCAATTATCAACGTGACAATGGCATTGACATTTTATTCAGGCTTTAGTTGGCTTTTTTTTTTTTAAAATGTTTTATTTATTTCTAGGAGAGAGAGACAGCGTGAACAGGGGAGGGTCAGAGAGAGAGGGAGTCACAGACTGAAACAGGCTCCAGGCTCTGAGCTGGCAGTCAGCACAGAGCCTGACGCGGGGCTCGAACCCACGAACCGCGAGATCATGACCTAAGCGAAAGTCGGACGCTTAACCGACTAAGCCACCCAGGCGCTCCTTTAGTTGGCTTTTTAAGTTAATGTTAACGATTTGTTCTTCTGGGACTCCTTCAAAGATATTTTGAGGTGATGAGTAATGAATGTAGTTTACTTGAGTATTTGAATTTTGATTTTCTATTTTTCCCTTTTCAATATTGTATTTGTGCAAAATGTACATTAAATCATTATCACATGCTTCGCCGTGTGGAGAGCATTGTGGTAAGCACTGTGAGGGTTAGAAGACTTATAGCATATAGTCTTTACCCATCAGGGGTTTAATCTAGTCTTATGGGGAAATAAAACAGAACATAAATAACTACAAAAGAAAATAGTAAAAGCTAGGGGCGCCTGGTTGGCTCAGTTGGTTGAGCGCCTGACTTTGGCTCAGGTCATGATCTCACGGTTCATGGGTTTGAGCCCCGTGTTGGGCTCTGTGCTGACAGCTCAGATCCTGGAGCCTGGAGCCTGCTTCGGATTCTGTGTCTCCCTCTCTCTCTGACCCTCCCCTGCTCACACTGTCTCTCTTTCTCTCTCTCTCAGAAATAAATAAAACAATAAAAAAAAGAAAATAGTAAAGGCTAGTGTCATTTGAATAGTACGTACAATAGAGGAATACTCTTTTTTTTTTTTTTTTTTTTTTTGCTGGAGTGACGTGAAAAAATTACATCTCCAAGCAGCCTTGAAAGATGGAAAAGATTTGTATTGTAGGTGAGGATCACAGCATTACTGTATGTGACACAGAGAAGGGTGAATTCAAGACATATTCAAGAGAACTACCTGCAGACTCTAGTTAATGCAGGGTCCATGTGGAATAGCAGGTTAAGAGGCTAAAAATCTCATATTATTAAGAGTGAACAGAAATTTGCATACCAAAGACTATGTTAGGTAATGGGGAACTAAGTAGGACTTTTGAACAACAGAGTGGCAGTTTTAGTATTTTAAGAATATCTGTCTGGTGATGATGGTTGGGATTAGCTGAAAATGACAAGAGACTGGGGGCAGGAATAGGAACTCTTCTGGAGCGAGGAGATGTCTGAAGAACTCCCTAGTGTTTGGCGGGGGTTGGGGGCAAGTTGTTTGCAGTTTTCCCTCTATACAAGACTCCAAGTAAAGGAGATTTTTGCGAGTAAAGGTTTAGTTTAGCAAGGGCACAATCGTACAAGCCCTGTAGGCACGCAGGCACTGTGCTAGGTTCTAGGCTATACAGGGAAGAACGAGACAGAATCCCAGTCCCTCAAGCATTTGTAGTGTAGGGCAGAGGTTCTGCACACTCAGGATCTATCAGAACCACCGAGGTAGATTTAAAAATTACAGCTGTTTATCCCCAGGGATTCTGATTTGCCTGTCTAGGATGACACCCAGGCATAGATATGTTAATTAAAACATTTTTTTTTGTTGTAAATGCTTTTTGAGGAATAATTTTAGAACTCATAGAAAAGTTTAAAGATAGAACAGAAGTTTTTGTATACCTCTCACCAAGTTTATCCTAATGTTAACATGTTCTGTAGCCATGGCCCTTTTATCAAAACTTAAGAAATTAAAACCGGTGACATTGCCATTATTTGTATTTCATTAGTTTTTCTACTAGTGTTCTTTTTCAGCTTCAGGATCGAATCTAGGATATGGCATCGCATTAAAATATTTAAAAAGCCCTCCAGGTGATCCTTGTGCAGCTACAGTTGAGGACCACTGGTATCCTAGGAGGTTACAATGCTCTTTCCTTCCTGTTAGCACACATTCCCCCACAAACAGTACATTTTTTCCTCTTGGGACATATGCATCATACAATGATTACTCATACTCCATTATACTACACAAGTGACATATTGAAGGCAGAATAACCATATAATAGTCTTTTACATCTGGATGGCACTTCAGAATTTATACTTTCACATACACTTAACTGATTTGCACAAGAGTGTATGAAATGGGCGGGGCAGTGATTATCATTCCAGTTTTATAGATGTGGGAATAACCTCAGAGAGGCTGGGTACTCACCTAAAGTCACATCTAACTTCCTCGGTACTTTTCTTGTTGGGTCTAATCTTAGAAAATCTTAATCTCAATTTCATCTTCCAGAGTGGGTCAACATTAAAGAGTAAACGGAAGTTTCATGCTCTAATAGTGTTGCATTAAGATGAACCATAAGAGATTTGCATATGTACCAGGCACAGGGGCATAAAGGTGAGAGGAGGAAGTAGAGGGAATGAACATAGTACATTAGAAGGAGAGGGAGCTTCTCTTTTTACCTTTTAGGACCCCTTCTGCTTGCCCTCTTACCCCACTCCCTGTATACACACAGTCTCTGCTTTCTCACTATTCTTATTCAAACACCAGTGTGCATCTAAACATTTTCTTGTTTTCTTCTTGGCTTAAAATGGTGAGGTCACAGAATCAAAAGTTTTGCAACCATCTAAGCCCTACTTTGTACTACCCCCCTCTCATGGTAGGTACAATGGTGGTTCTTAAAAATCCATGAAACCCATGCTACTAACTCTAAAATGATGCATGAGAAGTCCCAAAGTTTTCATTGCTTTTCAGGGATACTTTACCCCAGTGAAAGATTAAGAACCATTGCAAGGGGAAGTGTTTCTGTAAGTGTAGGCTCATGACCACCTGTATTGGAAGCATTTCCTTCTTTTAAAGGCAGATTCCTAGATCTTACCTCCAAAGAAAAGGTTGCCTTATAAAGCTTTTATTTTTATTTATTTATTTTGAGGAGGGGATAGGGGGGAAGAGAGAGAGAGAGAGAGAGAGAGAGAGAGAATCCTAAGCAGACTCTGTACCATCCACTTAGAGCCCGACTGAGGGCTCTAAGTCCCAAACCTTGTGATCATGACCAGAGCCAAAATCATGAGTCAGATGGAGTCAGATGTTTAACCAACCGGGCCACCCAGGTGCCCCAAAAGGTTGTCTTATAAACTACAAATAATCATATATAGCTCTAGATAATAAAAAACTCAAATCATATAATAAAATCGCTACATATTTAAATTCCTATTTTCCAGAAAGAGAAATTTTACATTTGAAATTTAGATGTAGCAATCTACATCAGTGTTTCGAAATCTGCTTTGCATTTCAGTACTTGTCACAGTTGGTAATGCTTTTATTTACTTATTTATTTTTTTTTTTTGCGTGATTATTACTGGATAATGATATCTAAGGCCAGGAGGGCAAATACCTTTCATTTTCCACACTAGTCTGTCCACAAATTAAGCAAGACTATCACTTTCAATACCACCATCTAGTGGCAAACGCAGCTATTACCATGCCAGTTTCACAGAGTATATATAGCTTAATGTTCTCAAACTTGTTTCTGCAGTCACACAGATTAACAGCATTTCTGCTGGAAACAGATAAATGGCATTCTTTTCCAAATTTTCATGGACAGAGGACCGAACACACATTTATGAATGTGATCAATTTTAAGTGTGTGTGTGTGCGTGTGTGTGTGTGTGTTTTAAACCACAACCTTCTCTTTAAGCCTTTGGCTCCTGCTGGGTATTTTCTACTAGTGATCTATTATTCCATAATACATGAAAAGGTTTAGCGACAGCTTTTCATGGTTGTGCGTTTAAAATCTGTGGATTTGCATGCTTTTGAATATTTGTTCTACCCCCCACCACAAACAGGATAAAAAAGCCCAGATACAGAATTACATACACAGAGAAACTTGATATAGGTGAGAGATGACGTTACAATTAAGTAGGGAAAAGGATAGTATCGCTGCAAGGATAACTGGTCATCGCATGGGATGAAAACGTGATTCTTGTTGGCCTTTTTCAGAGCTGTCCAGAAACAACGATTACAATCTCTCCCAGGTACATGGCATTTGACTCTCAATTTCATTCTCGCTTCAATAATTCCCGCAAAGTACCGAGTACAAAAAAAGTCCCCACTTATCCCCTATTCCAGTGTGAGGCTCCCCATCCATTAGACTTTAAATAAGGTTTACTTGGGGTTCCTTGCTGACAATATATCGTTTATATTGTGGAAAAATTGAGTATACAGAAGTATAATCATCTGTGCATTCCTACCACGAATTTCTAACACTTCCTAACATCCGATAATTACGCTAATGTGGTAACTGCATATATCTCCACCCTTCTTTTTTAAAAATCAGTGTCATTCGTTGGAGACGTAGGTTGTTTATTAATATTTCGAGAGAGACATCTTAGTGTGTATATCGTCATCGAATGTCCCCACTGGCAAGCACTGGAACTCGCAGTCGCTGACTGGCGGGGAATCGCAGCGGGTCCGCTACAGCCAAGGGACGCCGGGACCCGGGAAAGGAACTGAGGCCGGGAAATGGTTTCAGCGCCAACCGAAGCCTTACAGGGTCCACCAGCGCCATCCGCAGGGAGCTCGCCACCGCCCCTCCCCGCGCATGCGCCGGGCCCTGAGCCCGCACCGCTCGCCAGCGCGGCTTCTGCGCAGGCACCGGGCTCGGACACCGGAAGCGGAAAGTCTGTCGAGTCGGGTCGACACCTCGGGATAAAGTAGCCATGCGCGTCTTGGAGGAGACTGGGCCTGAGGCCACAGCGACCCCGTGCGGGTGCGTGAAACCGGCTTTGGAAACAGGTAACTTTTAAGAGACCGGCGGTTCCGCACTTCAAAGAGGTCTAGGCGCAGGCCTTTGACTTTAGTGCAGAGAGGGACGTAAAATGCGAGAACTTGAACCGAAGTGCGTCATTGCGCTTCTTGCAGAGCCACGGATCACGTGCACCAGCGACCACGTGATTTTGACGAGGCGAGCAGGATGATGTCATCTCTCGATCTGTTCTTGGTAGCAGTGGTTGGCGTGGTCTAGGCATGATGGCTGGGAACAGCCACGTGCAGTGTAACGGCCTTTCTCTCCGGGAGTTCTTGCTCCTGTGGGAGAGAGGATGTGAACGCTGGGAACTAATGAATAACCGCAAAAGAGAGGCATCCTGTGCTGTAGGAAGTGAGGAGGGAGACGGGAAAGTTCCAGGGCACAGAGACGGGAAACCTTTTTAAACTGGGCCTGGAAGGATGGGCGTGGGTTTATTTTCTTTTCATCATAGAGAGCAGAATATAACTTTTAGAAATTAGAAGAAGCAAATGGAAGAAAATCAAAGCCACCATCATCCAGGGAAACCACTTATAATATCTTGGTGTCTACCTACCATACTTCCTTCAGTGCATGCACGCGAGAAAAATGAATTGATACGTGACCCCACTGTTTTATAACTTCTTTGTAAAACTTAAACTTCATATAAGCCTGTGACCATTAATAATTTTAAGGGATTGCACATTATTTTGCTTTAGAGGTGTGTTGTAACTAACCAGTTCCCTATTGCTGGGCATTTAGGGTACTGCTAGTTTTCATTGTTCTGAAAGTTCTTAACACTAAAGTCTTTGTGCATGTTACAAATGTTTAACTTAGATGAAACTTGCTAAAAGTACTGCTACTTGGTCAGGGGTTGTGCTCATTTAAAAAAGCTGGTGTACAGTGCCAAGTTACGGGTCTAATGTTTTGACAGGCAGGAAGGAGCAGGGCTCAGAGATCTACGTAGCGTGGGATAGATCGGGGGCGGGGGGGAACCATTGATTGGATTCAGATTGTAGAGAAACTTAAATACCAGGTTAAAAATATAAAGTCTGTTAATGGTGAAAAGTGGAAAGTTTAGAGGGTAGCTAGGTGCTTAAAGTAGCTCAGTTGGTGGAGCTTCTGAATCTTGATTTTGGCTTTGGACATGATCTCATGGTTGGTGAGTTGGAGCCCCCTATTGGGTTCTGCGCTGACAGTACGGAGCCTGCTTGGGATTCTCTCTCTCTCTCTCTCTCTCTCTCTCTCTCCCCCCTCTCTCCCTCTCCCCACCCCCACCCCCCCCCCCCCTCCCCCCTGCCCCTCCCCCCTCCCCTGCACCCTCTCTCAAAATAAATAAATTAAAAAAAGAGGGTAGCAGACAATTAAGGAACGCAGAGTCTAGAGGATTGGTGTATTTTAACCCGGGGAGGGACCTGTGTTGGGGACATGAATTACAGTAAGGGTAATTTAAAAGTCCAGGCAAGTTGTCAACACCAGAATTACCTTGTGTACAGAAACTCTGCATTAATAACTTGTTGGTTTTTCTTTTATTACACAATTAATGCAGTTATTAATATTGTTAAAAACGAGGGCAAGGTCTAAGTAAGAGCTTTGAAAACTACTCTTTGCTGAGCAGTTGGTGTTATACTAGGTGCTTTAAATATTTTCCCATGATTTTGAAATATTGTGAGATTCTTCACAACTATTAATTCCACTATGATAAGAGTTCTTGTTTCTTTTACCCTAACTTAACTCAGTGTCTGGCAATTGTATACACCTGGGAAGTGTTTGTTAAACAAATGAAAACTGGACACAGGGACCCCCAACTTACTAGGTTCGGGGTGGTTTTTTGGCCATTTTTCTTTATGACATTTTAATGGAACACCAGGACTTGTTTGGCCTCAGTTTCTTCATCTTTAAGGTGTTTACTGTCTTTATTCCACAGGAACATGGATATGAATAAACAAAAGAAGGCCTATATACATACTTGGAAAAAAAATTAAAGCCCTCAAAAACATACACAGTATGGAAGTGTCTTAGAATCATAATATTGAGAGAGGAAAAAATAAGTCTGAGAAGATAACAGTTTAATACCAGTTTTTATAGAGTTAAAAGACAGAATGGGGCGCCTGGGTGGCTTAGTCGGTTAAGTGTCCGACTTTCGCTTAGGTCATGATCTCGCGGTTCGTGGGTTCGAGCCCCGCGTCGGGCTCTGTGCTGACTGCCAGCTCAGAGCCTGGAGCCTGTTTCAGTCTATGACTCCCTCTCTCTCTGACCCTCCCCTGCTCACGCTGTCTCTCTCTCTCTCCTAGAAATAAATAAAAACATTAAAAAAAAAAAGAGTTAAAAGACAGAATAAATGAAACATTATCTAGGCATGCATTTGCATGTGAAAAAGTTATATTTTAAAAAGTTGCATTAAAAAAAAGTGAGTGATAATGACCCCATTTAGGTACTTGTTTATCTCAGCAGGAAAGGATGGATGTGCCCTAGGAGAAAATTAACATAAAAAGATAACAATTTGTTGGTAAAGCTCTCGTTCTTGAGATGGGTAGTGAGTACACAAATTTCATAATATTATGCTCAATTAGTCATGTGTTACATATAATATTTTATATGTAGCCAACACTATAGTTGTGATAAGTGAAAAGAAGTGAAAGGTGCTATGAGGGACAATACCAGGCCTACAATCTCACCACCTGTGCTGGTGATGGAAGCTGGAAATAAAATGATGGTCTAGAGGGTCTTTATATCATCTCTTAAAAGAAGTTAGTAAAGCTTTCATGAACTGTAAAAAAATAGTTATTTGTAAATTAGTCATGGATACCTTGGACTTTAAACCTATGTTGATACTGCCTAGCCAAGTTTCCTTCTTTTGAAAAGAGTTGCTACTTAGGGAAACAAAAGGGGGGGGGGTCTGATTATTGTAAAAATTTCAAATATTACACAAATTACAAAGTCAAATATAAAAATAATCCAAAAATCTCACTATCCATTTTACATGTTATCACATCCATTTTACCAGAATGTTAACATTTTCGTGACTATCCTTCCAAATGGCTTTCTCAGCATACATGTACATATTTAAATAGGTGAGTGTATAAACAATCTTTCATAAATGGGATTATGTTCTTTCGCTTTTTAACTTTCTATTTTAATCAGGTTAGACTTAAACAATCCTTTTTCCCATGTAACATGAATTTTTTGAGTATCTACCTCCTTGCATGCAATATAGACAGTGAACACCATAGTAAACAAGAGAACAACTCCTGCCCATAGGGAACTTCCATTCTAAACGGGCAGAGAGCTACTGGACAAGCCTAACCTGAAATCTCCCCTGTGTCTAGACATTTTAGTAGTATGATCCCATGCACTCCCTTTATTGTGTAAACTACTTTGTTTCGTATGTTCTGTTTTTAATTGAATGCATTCCTGTTACGACATGTTTTCCTCACTATCCAAAAGTAGAGCATTCTTATGAAATGTTTGATAAGCTGAAATGACATAATGCAGAGTAGTTACCATTAATTTATATGGGAAACATTTAGATGGAAAATACTTGAGCATTCCCCAATGCAAAAAATGATCTCTCTTAGGCTTTTTTGTTACCTTAGAACACATCTTGCTAGTGGATGCACAAAATAAATCAAGATAACCACAGATGCTCACAAAGTTCAAAGATCTGGTGTCTTAATGCTGAGATGCTGAGTAGTTCCTGGGGAAAGGCCTGGGTGGGGCTGATCTCACAGCTTGAGGTGCACCCTCCCTGCATCTGTAACAGCTCTCTGCAAAATAAATACTGACAGTATTTTCACTTCTTGCTTTTTGGTAAAAGCAGACATTAGATATCTTTTGATTAGCAAAAGCAGGTACTAATGTAGGTCTGTCGTAAATGCTCAGTGGCTTAATGCAGACTTTTGAAAGCATGTGGATACCTGTATACAACCTCTGTCTCTTTATCTTTCATTGTTCTTTGCCTTATCTTTCCTACTCCAGCCAAACAAACTAGCTTGTTCCTGCATGTGCTGGAAGTTAAAGTTCTCATTTAACTTTGTGTGTGTTATTCCCTCTGTTGTAAATAGCATTTTAGCCCTGACCAGTCGCACACCTTAGTAAATGGTATCATAGAATTTGATTTATGGTCACAGTAGAACATTTAAAAATGCTTCCTGTCTTTTTTTCTTAGACCTGCACTCTTTCTGGTGCATCATCCAAAGGGATATAATAATGTATATGTAATAATGAGGATATTTATATGTATTCATGATACTATATGAAACATTTTTAATAGTTGCATTAACACTTGGTAGATGTTAAAACTATGAAATCAGTACATTAAAGAAAACATGTTTTCCTACATCTTTATTTGATATTTTGACTAATGATTTCCTACCTGATTTTCTTCTGTAGGGAATCTTTTAACTGAGCCAGTTGGCTACTTGGAATCATGTTTCTCAGCCAAGAATGGTACTCCAAGGCAGCCATCTGTTTGTAGCCTTTCGCGGGCTTGTTTGAGAATTCGAAAGAGCATCTTTAATAATCCTGAACATTCCTTGATGGGCTTAGAACAGTTTTCTCATGTTTGGTAAGTTGTCTTATAGTTAGAAGTGGTTCTTTGGGCCAGAACTTGCCCTTGAGTAAAGTCCTCCAGTTGAAGGCAGTCTTGGAGTCTGCCATCCAGACCATCCTTCCTATTGCAAGGAATTCCCGTACCATATTCTCGCGCGTAATTGTCTGTGTAACCTGGGCAACCTCAGGGAAGCTTGGAATCCACGGGGCAGGGAGGGGAGCATGATCCATTTGCAGTTGGTTCTGACTGTGATAAATGCCTTCTGTTGAGCTGAATTCTACAGACCTTCTTGATTCTGCCTGTGGGTACCTATTGTCTTCTGGACCAGGGGTCAGCAAGCTATAGCCCGTGGACCAAATCCATCTCCCACCTATCTTTGTAAATAAGTTTATGGGAACACAACCACTCCCATTCATGTATGCATTGTGTGTAGCTGCTTTTGTGGTGTAGCGGCAGAGTTGAATAGTTACAACAGAGACTTTTTGGCCTGCAGACCCTCAAATGTTTACTGTTTGACTCTTACAGAAAAACTTTGCAGACTCTGCTCTAGACCCATGAAGAATTAGGTCTGTTCTTCCTCAAAGACAAAAGAGCTTTAGAAATCTGGATACTTTAAATAATAAAGTATTACCTATATTAGGACCTGTGTTATACTGGTGTTACTGACTGTCACTTGGAATTCTGTGTCTGTCCATTCTTCTCACTCCAGCGTCACCAGTATGGCTTGGTCTAATTTTACGGTGAAGAACTAAAATTAGGTATTTATTCTGAAATGGTTTATTTTTCATATTAATTTGGAGATATGAATAGAGTAAAAACATAAGTATCTGACCTAGTTTGTATGATGTTGGTTGAATTAATTAAGTTAAAAACATTGCTGATTTTTAAAAAAATAGGTCTGGAGCTATATAAAGAGATTTCTCTGTATCCCTCCTATTTTTCTCTTCTCTCGTCCTCACCCCTTTACACTCTTCAGAGATTATTACTGTTAACAGCTTGGTGTGTATCCTACCAGACCTTTTCCTTTTTTAATACACATAGAAGCATATACATACACATTGGGAGTGGGTGTTTGTTTTAAACAATGGAATATGTTTTCTTCGTTTAACAGTATGTATCATGACAGTACATAGAGATTTATCCTTTTCGCTTTGATGGAAAATATAGGTATACCAGGAATAGACCACTCTCTTGCTAATGGGTAGTTATTTTGGTATTACAGTAATGCTGTAACAAACCTTCTTAGACACAATTCTTGACACTTGTCTATTTTTACAAATAGGATATCAGAAACGGATATATTGATGGAGGAGGGCACTTGTTGGGTTGAGCACTGGGTGTTATATGGAAATCAACTTGACAATAAATTATGAAAGAAAAAAATGGATATATTGAGCTAGCAGGGGTGCATATTTATAATTTTGGAGAGCTATTGCCAAGTTGCGCTTTAAAAAGCTTAACATATATCAGAGATGTATAAAAATGACCTTTTCCTCTACGTTCGTGCTGATGCTATATGTTACCAGCTTTTTTACATTTTTGCCTGACAGGGAAAAACAGGATTTTATTTTTCAGTTCAGTTTCTGAATTAGTAGGTTCAACATCTTTTCTTATGGGTTGCTGCTATTTCTTACTCTTCTGTGAATTGTCTTTTCATGTTCTTTGCTTAGTTTCTTATAATGAGTTGTTCTTTTCTTTGTGATATTTAGGAACAGTTTATATACCACAGATATTAACCCAATGTCCATTTTACAGATAGTAAACATTTTTTCCTGAGATGACATTGTGTAGTCATAAATTTAAGGATCTAATAAATTCGAATCTGTTATTTCTTTTCATGGCTTCCTGCTTTTGTGTCTTGTTTAGGAAGAACTAGTCAAGTTATTTAACATTTCTGAGCCTCAGTTTCCTCATTCTTTTTTTTTTTTAAGACATGCTTTTTTTGTTTTAGTGTTTTATTTATTTTTGAGAGAGACAGACAGAATGTGAGTTGGGGAGGGACAGAGAGAGAGGGAGACACAGAATTAAAGTGGGTTCCAGGCTCTGAGCTAGCTGTTAGCACAGAGCCCCATGTGGGTTTGAACCCATGAACCGTGAGGTCATGACCTGAGCCAAAGTATGACACTTAAGTGACTGAGCCACCCAGGTGACCCACAATTTTCTTATTCTTAAAATGGGGATAAATTACAAATCTTATGCTTGTTTAGAGAATTATGAAATGAGTATAAAATTGTCTAGCATACTGCCTGGCAAACAGCAGGCATTTACTCCATAAATTTTGCTTATTTAGGCCCTTGAGAAACATTTTTTAAGTTCCTACCATATGCCAATAATTGTGTTACAGGCACGGATATGGAGATGAAACTCTGCTTCCCTTCAGGGAATAAGAATGGTGTTTTTTCCCCCATCGATTACATTTTAATACCATTAAGAACATTCGTTCATTTCTAATTTGTGGAGTTAAAGATTTTTCCCCTCAAATAATTGTGATACACTAATTTGTGTTCTGTTTTTACTCTGGTTTTGTTTGTTTTCAATAGGATTTTGTTTGTTTTTCACAAGAATGGTCATTTGAGCTGTAAGGCAAAAGTGCAGCCTCCTAGGCTGAATGGCGCAAAGACTGGAGTTTTCTCTACTAGGAGCCCTCATCGTCCCAATGCAATAGGATTGACTCTGGCCAAGCTGGAAAAGGTAGAAGGTAACACATTTCCTTCCTACTTTGATCTTTTTATCCCTACCCAAAAGATGTGTTCTAAAGCCAATGTAGTATTGACCACTGCCTGTTATTCAGATGAGTACCAAGCGTGCTAGCACCTGAGAACTGCCAGACATTGAAGAAGACAAAATGACGCAAAGAATGTTACACTTAGAAATCAGTGCTCGTAGGATGCTCAGAGTCTGATTATATCATCCCATATGTCAGGAGCTATTATGTTATTTTAAAATAATGAAAGATTCCATAATTTTCTCTGACTTGGAATACATTAAATACAAAATTATTCAAAAATAATTGGTCACTTTCAGAATTAATACAAGTGACTGGTTGTATGTGGAGATATGGTAAACACATAGGGTGGTGCTGTGTTAATTCTTCCTTGCACCTTTGAAGAAGTGGACATGCATCGTGGCTGTAGTACAGCTCTTAACTCTCATGTGTGGCAAAGGCTTTGTGATGAATCTCACTTTAACATTTAATACCTGCCAGATTGTGGAAGTTCCTGTGTAGAATATCATACTAGTTTTAACTCTGTGTTCATATGTAGCTTAGTTACTGGACCATACATTTTTTGGAAGCATCCTATTCTTTTTTTATTATTATTATTAAAGTATAAATGACATACTTTGTTAGTTTCAAGTGTATAATATAATTCAATATTTATATACATTGTGAAGTGATCATCCTAATAAGTCTACCATTTGTCACCATACAGAATTACAAAAATGCTTTTCTTATGATGTGAACTTCCAAGATCTACTGTCAGCAACTTTAAAATATATAGTACAGTATTATTGACTGTAGTCACCATGCTGTACATTACATCTCCCTGACTTATTTATTTTACAGTTGGAAGTTTGTACCTCTTGATCTGTTTCAGCCATTTCACCCATCTCCCTACCCTCTTTTCTCTGGCAGCCACCAATTTATTCTCTGTATTTTTGAGTTTTGGTGTGTATCTTTGTTTTGTTTGTTAGTAAAGCATTCTGTTCTTGAGTCACTCTGACCTAATAAGCACATTTGTCAGAGAGGCAAAAGATGAAATAGGTAGACTGGAAGTCAAGAGACCATTCCGGGCCTTAGTTTGCTTGTCTGTAAAATGGGCTGAGGAGCAGGACCTGCGTCTCTGGAACTCCGTAGTATTTTTTTAGGATCTTATGAGACAAAAGCTCTTAAGAGTAGTTTTTAGGCTGCACAGTATTAAATAGGTAAGACCAGTTATTTTGTTTTTTTCCCCAGAACTTGAAATTCCTCCCCTGGATTGTATTCAGCTGGGCCTTATGTAGGTTTTCCAGGAATATTCTGTAGCCAGTTCAACTTGAGCTTTATCAATTTGTGATGGCTAGCCAGCTTGGGTAGTAGTACTGGAATATTTGTGATCATTCATGCAACCCACACATATTTTCTGAGCATTATACATGTGCCAGGCATTGTCCTAGGTGCTGAGGGTATAGTGGCAAACACATCAGATAAAAATCCCTACACTGCAGAAGAACTTAAAATTTTAACATGGGAGACCAAATTAGAAATGTAAAAGGCAAATACAGTAGCACTGTAGACATTCTTTTTTTTCTTTTTTTTTAGACATTCTTAACAAATAAGTGTTATGGTGACTACTAGTATTTGTGTGGTGCTTTACAGTTTGTAAAGAGGGTTCATGTTATGTTCCGTGTCTCTTTGAGTTTGATAGGGTAGCAGTCTTCTATGGATGAAGGAACCAAGGCGCTTAGATGTTTGATAATTTTCCTAATGGCATCCAGCCAAGTGATTGTCTGACTCTAAATCCCATGCATTTTTACCTATGCTGCAATGTCTTTCTTCCTTCTGCAGACATTGTTAGGCATAATCCATCACTTAGGAAGTCCAAAGTCCTCGTTCCAAAGTTGCAGGCTCATTCACAGTGAGCATGTTGTAGAAATCAGTGTCCTTTGTTGGTCATGTTTTTCTTAAATGGAGATAGATTCTTAAATGGAATGTGATCATATGCAATTGTTTTATTCTCATCTGGCCAGTTTCTCAAGGATCATGTTAGTAGGCTCTGCACCAGTAGCAGGAACTGGACATGCGACTGTATAAGTGAGATAACAAAAGACCAGTCCTTAATATTTGGTAGTGGTGACTTATGTTCTGCTTAATTGTTTGAGTATTAGGCTTCTATTGCTCTGTAACAAAGTACCACACACTTATCAGTTTAAACATTTATTATCTCTGGAATGTTATTGCGTTTCATAATAATTAGAAGTATATGAACAGCTTAGCCAGTCCTCTGCTTAGAGTCTTAACCAGGCTGCAAATAAGGTGTCATCTGGGATAAGTTCTTACCTGGAGGCTCAGCTCTGGAAGAATTTGCTCCTGGGCTCACTCATGTTGTTGGCCGGATTCACTTCCTTGTGGTTTTGGGATCGAGAGCCCCAATTTCTTGCTGATTGTTGCCAGGTGGCTGCCTTCAGCTCCTAGAGGCTCCTGCAGTGCCTTGCCACATGGGCTTTCCCCGTGTGGCTGCGTGCTTCATCAGGCCTACGAGGAGAGTATCTCCAGCGAATCTGCTAGCAGGCACAGGAGCCAGACAATGTAACATAGTCACCAGAGTGATACCAGGTCACACTCAAAGATACATTGAGGACTCTGCTGTGCCTGGAATAGAGTTTAGAAGCCCCAGTGATGCAAAGATGAGTCAGTGCTCAAGGGCCTACTGTCCAGAGAGACTCTAACTAGGTCATTGCCAGACCATGTGAAAATAGCTGTAATAGAGGTCTGTACATAGGCCTCTCTGTGGAACCCAGAGGAAAGAACGCTTCTGTCCAGAAGAGCCAGAAAGACTTTGTAGACGAGATGTTATAAAAGAGCCTTAAAGAGCATGTAGGAGTTTGACAAGTAAAGAAGAGGATGGGTTTCCAGGTAGGATGAAAAGGGTGTATCAGTACCAGGTATCAAAGAGCCTGGCGTGTAAGGGAATTGTGAGTAAGCTTGGTGAGGCATAAGGAGATGGTGTTAGTTTTTAATTGTTTGCACTATTCTTCATTGTTACTGTCTCTAAGAGGAGGTGTTTTTCACGTTATAGGTGGCGCCATCTACCTTTCCGGAATTGACATGATTCATGGCACACCTGTCCTAGACATAAAGCCCTACATAGCTGAGTATGACTCACCACAAAACTTGATTGAACCTCTACAGGACTTTAATTTACAGAATACGCAACATAAGCATCCAAACTTGTCCCAGTCTGGTGGCAAGACTGACAGCTGTGACCAGCAGCAGCTCTCAAGGTGCGATAAGCCACCGCCCTGTAGCCACCCTAAGGAGAAACTTAAATGTCCCGAAGACAGAACTTCAGGAGAAAACTATATGAAACGGGACAACTCAACAAAAATCCGGCGAAACTCCCCTAAGCATGGAGAGAGAGTGGGAGATTTGGGTGTCAAATCCACAAGTGATCAGAGTCCGCGCGTGGCTGAAGAGCAAATTGGCCCATATTTCCTGGAGAAGAGCTTTTCAGAGGAAGATACAGCAAGGAGGCTAAGGAGAGGGAAAGAAGCAGTAATTGCACCAGGAAGTAGTGCAGAGGTCCATCGTGGGGCCCTTCGCTGCCCGCCCAGGACTGATGCAGCCTGCTGCAGCGTGGTCCCTGCCTGGGTGAGAGAGGCCCCCGTGGCCACCCTGGATGTGCGGTTTACTCCTCATGCAGAGATGGATCTTGAGCACCTCAGTTCAGGAGGTGAACCAGGTACTTTCTGTTCCTTACTTCTCGGTGAGAGCTTTAGTCAAATTTGGTATTTCTGAGGGCAGTCATACAGCATATTTGTCAGGATGGCTGGTCATAAGAAATGTAGGAGTATAAAATAATATTTGAGCAACACCACCATCTGATGACTTCCGTTCAGCCACTTTGTTCAGTACAGTGAGTCCCAGACACTCAGTAAAGTGTTTCTGAGAATGGCTGCTGCCTCATGAGGTGGCTCGTGATTTAAGGCCTCTTATCAGTCTGTTAGAGTAGTAGTCCCTGGAGTTTTCAGACTCCAGAAACTAAATTGTGCTTGTTCTATACTTACGTCAATTAACGTGTTTTTATCTGTTTTACTGTCTGACTAGAGAAATATCCCATCTTATTCTGACTATCAGGTGGCTGATAGCTCTACCTCTGGCACAGAGCCCAAGGGTGAGAGGGAAAGTCTCGTAGCACAGTAATTGTTCCCATAAAGTCCCAGCACTAAAGACATAACCCTTTACTGTAGAAGAGAGGCCACAGGGCTTTTACTTGGAGCTTGTTTACTTTAATACCTGGTTTTTAGCAAACATTGCAATCTGGTTTCCCCAGTCCACAGCAGATCCCAAGCAGCAATCTAGAGTGAAGGAAGGGGCTGTTAAGAGGTGGCTACAGTGATCCCAGTAAGAAGTAGCCAGTTAAGTTGCTAAGGGTATGTCCGATTTCATCTGCCACTCCAGGTGTGTTTCTCATTCTTTCCAAATGCTTTGTGCTTAAACAAAGCATTTGATTATTAAATTGACCTCTTTAGGGGCGCCTGGGTGGCTTAGTCGGTTAAGCGTCTGACTTTTGCTTAGGTCATGATCTCGCGAATCGTGGGTTCAAGCCCCGCGTCAGGCTCTGTGCTGCCAGCTCAGAGCCTGGAGCCTGTTTCAGTCTGTGACTCCCTCTCTCTCTGACCCTCCCCTGCTCACGCTGTCTCTCTCTCTCTCTCTCCTAGAAATAAATAAAATTTAAAAAAAAAAAAATTTTTGTTTAAATAAAAAAAAATAAATTGACCTCTTTATTTAAAAAGTTCTGTCTATGGCGCGCCTGGGTAGCTCAGTTGGTTAAGCATTTGGCTCTTGATTTCGACTTGGGTCATGATCTCATGAGCACAGAGCCTGCTTGGGATATTCTCTACCCACCATGTGTCTCTGCCCCTCTCATGCTTGCTCTCTCTCTCAAAATAAATGAACAAAAAAACTTAAAAAAATTCTGTTTATGAAAATTGTTTCATCATTGTATATAGTTGATGGGAAGAGGAAGGTCAGTTTTAAAAGGATTTTGTGATAGAACGAAGAAAGCAGTGCTGCCTGGAAGATACTTTCTATATATACTTACCCTTTGATAAGCCTGCAGTTATCAGTGAATGCTTCATACTTGGGAAAGTTTTATCTTTTTCAAACTATAGTGCTATGTGTCTTGAGAGGTTACAATATGCCTTACTGTTTTATTTTTTTACTTAAAATTTTTTTTAATGTTTTATTTATTTCTGAGAGAGGAAGACAGCATGAACAGGGGAGGGTCAGAGAGAGAGGGAGGTACAGAAGTTGAAACAGGCTCCAGGCTCTGAGCTGGCTGTCAGCACAGAGCCCGGCATGGGGCTCGAACCCACGAACCGCGAGATCATGACCTGAGCCTAAGTCGAATGTTTAACCGACTGAGCCACCCAGGTGCCCCTGTGCTTTACTGTTTTAAAAAATCATTAAAAAGAGAAATTGTGAAATGTAACAAGGATTGATTTAGAACAGAATTTGGAGCCAATACAGAAATAAGAAATGACCTCAGGAAGTTTATAGTCTAGAAAAGAGAAAACATTGAATGGCACTGGTGTGTGTGTGTGTGTGTGTGTGTGTGTGTGTGTGTGTGTTGGGTGGGTGGGATTGGTGCTGGAATGGAGTGCTGTGGACACATGAGGCAGAGAAGGATTGTGACCTGGGAAGCAGAGAGGAAATCTGGGAAGACTTCCTGGAGGAAAAAGTGTTTGAACTAAACTTGGAAGGTTTAGTAGGCAGAGAAGTGAGATGGCAGATGAACAACCAAAGGCCTGGAGCTTTTGCCAGTTACACTGTTACTAAAGAGTGTGATGTTTTTGAAGCTCCTCTTTTTTGAGTGGCCTTGGAGTACTTTTATGAGCCATGCAATGAAAGAATCTTAGCACTGCATAATTGGTCCTTGTTTTTTTTTGTTTGTTTGTTTTTAAGGATTCTATGTGATCAGCAGTTGAATTGGTTGGTCCTTGATTTTTGACCAAAAATTGAAATTCATGGCTTTACTTACAAACTTACTTATTAGATATAGCCCAGAGTGATTTTTGCCTGTTGTCTAAAAATTGAATTTACTTTCAGAAGAATAAAGATCTACCACTACTCCAGACAGTATTTTGAACAGGGTCAGCACCCTTCCTTCCTTCCTGGAAAGGCCCAGCCTTCATTTGGATATATGTTATATTGTAGCTATTAAAAGTTAAGTCACAGTTAATTTTTTTATTTAACTTTTGTACATACTGTATTTTTAAAAATTAGAATACATCCACAATTAGATAAATGTAGGAAGTTTTGCCACTTGCCAGGTACACAACTGTTTACCTGAAATATAAACCTGGGTGGCATGGGGTGGCCTGTTCCCTAATGATGGTGTTCAACTTTCTCAGTGTACCTGTTTTGTCATGTCCTTGTTCCTTAGGGAATGTGGTGTTACTTTTTTTTTTAATGTTTATTTATTTATTTATTTATTTTTAATGTTTTTTATTTATTTCTAGGAGAGAGAGAGAGACAGCGTGAGCAGGGGAGGGTCAGAGAGAGAGGGAGTCACAGACTGAAACAGGCTCCAGGCTCTGAGCTGGCAGTCAGCACAGAGCCCGATGCGGGGCTCGAACCCACGAACCGCGAGATCATGACCTAAGCGAAAGTCGGACGCTTAACCGACTAAGCCACCCAGGCGCCCCTTTAATGTTTATTTTTAAGAGAGAGAGTGCAAGCACGACAGGGACAGAGAGAAGGGGACAGAGGATCCAAAGCAGGCTCTGTGCTGACAGTAGCAAGCCCAGTGTGGGCTCAAACTTGCGAACTGCGAGATCATGACCTGAACCGAAGTCGGACATTCAACCGACTGAGCCGCCCAGGCGCCCTTGTGGTGTTACTTTTAAGTGGAGCTGTGACCCCAGCTGTCTGAGGCACCCTCTCTTACAGCTGGAGCTCTGTGTATGTGCGGGTTTAGTCCTCTCTCTTGTGGCTCTCTGAGAATGCTGGAACTGCCCGTGCATTTCCCTGACCATGCTGCCTTTCTGAGAAAATGACAAGGAATTGAATTAGAGTCTATGTTGAGCATAGAAGATTTTGTTTAGCAAATGAAAGTTGGGAGCATGCATAAGTTTAATACTAGCAAATATACTTGAAAATGACATTCTCTGTAATGACTGAATAGATTTCCAAACCCAGTTCATTTCAAGTGATAGTCAAGGAACCAACCAAACTCCACATTAAAGTTCACTGTAATGAAATTTGACCAGCATGGTGTTCAGCATTAAGTTGTATTCTTCTCATTGCAGATGGCAGTCAGTCTTCATTTAAATATTTTCAATCAGTAGAGGAAGCAAGGCATGCCATTGAGGCTGTGTTGTCAGCTGACCCTCGGTCTGTATATCGACGGAAGCTCTGCCAGGACCGCCTTTTCTACTTTACTGTAGACATAGCGCATGTCACTTGCTGGTTTGGTGATGGCTTTGCAGAGGTTCTAAGGATCAAGCCAGCTTCAGAGCCTGTTCAAATGACTGACCCTACAGAGTCCTTGGTGTCTATGGGATCGTAAGTAGCCTCTATCATGTGTTTAAGACAGCCTAATTGACTTTGGATGTGGCTGTTGGATTATCTGTATAAGCTGACGATATGCTCTCTTTGCAAAAAGAAGCAACACTTTGTTATCTCATTGCTTTGATTGATTTGGGATGTTCAGAATATTTATTTGAAATTTGTATTTTAATAAAGTGAAAGATGTAAAATTTAGAGAAATTCCCATACGCTTTTCAATTAGTTAATATTGAAGAATCCAAAAGTGATGATGTGTCAGTGAGTTCTCAAAGAAGTTGATTGTTCTTGACACTTGGTAAAACTGGGCAGAGATCATTCTAGCAGGAACTCACAAGCTAAGGGGATCTGTTCAACAATTCATATTGGTTTTCTTGTCTGGAATAGCTTGACCCCCTATTTTTTTCTAAATCAAACTGAGTTAACGGTGTTTTAGGAAACAGAAAATAAGTGGTTATAAAGAACGTTAGAGATTAAACCCCTGTGTATCAGAGACTTTGACCCATACACATAGTTATATATGTAGCATGTGTATATTTAATCCTGATTCCAAAATAGGGACTCTGAGGTTTCTCTGGATGTCTTTTTATCAGAAAAGAAAGTCACCCCAGAGGTCCAAGAAAATAACTTAATTACTGGCTTATTTCTTACTTATTCCATGAGTATTTACTGAAAAGCTAGCGTGGGTTAAGTTTTGGTGATAAAAGGAGGTAAAAACAAGACGCAGCTCTTGTTGCAAGTCATAGTTAGGAGAGGAAGAAGACATAAGCACATTAATTTATTACAGTTAGATAAATATAGTAATTAAGTTTGTACATGGTTCCTGTGCAGCACCACGTAGGAAGCGGTTGTAGGAATATATTGCCTATAGGTGGTGTTAATGATGTTGATCCCAGATAACTGAAGATTTATGATCTGCATAGCCAAATTAGACACCTGTCAACATGACAAGCTTTCCTAATCACAACTGTAAATCTTAATAGCTGATTGATCATGGTTTTGAAATGAGCCCTGCTGCCTGTAGATACTTGCACAGAGTCATTTGTGGCTGATGACACTGCACTCTTGAGCCAGACTGAATTGCCTTTGAGGTCACTTAGAACCTCTTGGGGAAGTATCTTTAATTTGATTTTTAAAAGCACTTTATTTTGAGAAAATTACAGATTCACAGGAAGTTGCAAAAATAGTATAGAAGCCACGTGTACCCTTCATCTAGCTGCTTCCCGTAGTAACATCTTACATAAACTGTAGTATAATGATAAAACCAGGAGGTTGACATTGGTATAATCTACCCTTTATTTTGGATTTTGATGCCTTTTCTCTTAAAATTATTTTGAGACTAAATCAGGGCTTGAGGCACAAAATGTTGATATTTAATATTGAAAAAATAGTGTGAGGATGGTAACAACCAGCCTTCTAGCAAGAGGACTGTTCAGTTGTTTGAGACTTTAATATAATTCTCAGGAATATGTATGATAGTGCTCATTATTAAAATGCTCTTCCTTTCTAGGAGATAAAGTCTGTTCTCTTAGAGCCACTGACTAGTGGGGCCACATAACATAAGGCCAGTAGCGCCCTTGTCTTAGCCTGTCAGATATCATCTGGCTCCCTGCCCCTCAGTCCTGTGTCTTGGCTGAGCCACCCTCATTTCCTTCAGCTCCTTCCCATGTAACATGATGTTAAGCCTCTCCCCACCCCGATCTTTGAATCCCCCGTGTGAGCTTTTGTCTCCAGGTATGTATTTTCAGTGTTCTGTTGTCAGGAAATTTGGATCTCCAAGTCACAAACTTCCATCCTTCAGAAGAGAAATAGTTTGAAGTAAGTCTTATATTCCTTTTCATTGTGGGAACTTCTCCAGAAGAAAGAGGTACAAGGCTGTTATCTACCTTAAATTTTAGATTTGCTGTTTGGTGCCTGTAGGGGGAGCCCTTGATAACTGATTATTTTCATTTCACTAGCCTGGAGATAAATTCCAGTTGTTCGAGCTGTTTAGGTAATTTTGACTTTCCGCCCACTTACCCCAGCTTTCCTGAACAGTAACTTCCACAAGAAATACTGATGCTTGTCTATCACTTATAGGAAGAGGTTAGAGGATGTGTGCCATTTATTAAATGTTTTTTTTTTAATTTTTATAATTTTTTAAAAAATTTATTTCTGAGAGAGAGACAGACAGGGTGAGCAGGGGAGGGTCAGAGAGAGAGGGAGATACAGAATCTGAAGCAGGCTTCAGGCTCTGAGCTAGCTGTCAGCACAGAGCCCGATGTAGGGCTCGAACCCACGAACTGTGAGATCATGACCTGAGCCAAAGTCGGACGCTTAACCAACTGAGCTACCCAGGTACCCCTAAATGTTTAAATCGTAGCTTGGCTTAAGGGCTAGCATGGGTTATTTCAGCATGTGGAGGCTGTTCACAACCACACAGACTCATTAGCCAAACCCATGAGCTTGCATATACATGGTATTCATGCTCTTAATGTATTTGTGACTTTTTTCTTTGAAGGGGTCTTCTCTTTGAGAAGAAAATGGAGTTAAAGGTACAAATCAACCTCTTGTTGATAGTTTTCTTTTTGTGATAGGGTCCCAAAGAAGGTAGATGAAGACTCAATAATAATGAAATCTGTATCAGTTACTAAACATCTATCATGTCCTTGGCACCAGGCTACATGCTTTTCATACATTGAGCAGAGGTTAAGTAACATGCTTAAGCTCACACAGCTGGTTAGCCATGCACTGAAGATTTCAGCCCATCCAGTCTGGCCCCAGAGTTGGCTTCCTTCCCAGCATGGCTCTGCTGCCTCCCACTTGCAGATGCAGATGCTTAGCAAACCCTGCTGGTTTATTTGAGGGTCAGCAATTTCATGTGCTTAGTAAGTGTAGGACACTTAGAGTGATGTTCATGGGAATCCAACCACTAAATTAAGAATGGGGAGGAATGAGAGTAGAAATGCCCATTCCAGATCTCTGTAGGACCTCCTGGGAAGCAGCATGGGAGATGTGGAGAACGCTGAGTTTGGCCTCAGAAACTTCAAGTGCTGTTTTCTGCTCTGCCCTGTGCAAGCTTTGTGACCTAGAGCAGATCACTACACCCACCTCCAAAACTCCACCCTCTTCAGAGTTGTTCCGAGGATAATGCTTGGGGAAGTATTTTCTGAACTCTTCAGTGGTCTACAAACTTAGGTAATATTTTTATTATGCCTGTTAATATTGACACCCTTTCTGGCTTACCTGCCTGGATAAGCAGACTCAAGGGAACCAAGTGGTCCTTAAAATACAATGTGTGTGGATGGCCTTTGTATTCTGTTTTTATTACAGGCGGTTTTTTTTGTTTTTCTTTTTAGTAAGTAGACTTCACACTCAGCATGGAGCCCAACACAGGGCTTGAACTCATGGCCCTGGGATTAAGATCCGAGCTGAGATCAAGAGTTGGACACTTAACTGACTGAGCCACCCAGGTTCCCCCAGAATTTTTTTAAAGGACTCCCGTTAGCAAGTTATAGGATATTTGGTAAGGGAGGTATCACAAAATGCCCTACCTTAAGGAGCCAGGTGACATTAAGCCACATGCCCAGGGCAGTGTCTACCTTCCACCTGGCCTTCCCTTCTGGGATTGCACGTGAGCCTTCCCTACCTGTGTGTGCAGTCAGCAGGTCAACCCCTTTCTCATACATGATCCTCTCCAGTGTCCTTTCTCTTCTACCTTCTTTCCTGATTCCAGCCCAGATACTTCAGGAAAATCTCTATATTTCTTTTCTTTTTCCTTTTCCTTTCTGTTCAAGCTTTTATTTAAGTTCTAGTTAATTAAAATGTATGGCAAATTTGGTTTCAGGTGTAGAATTTAGTGATTCATCACTTACATATCTGCATTTCTTTTATAAGAAAATAAAATTATAGTCATGGTATAAAATGATTAAGGTAAGTTTTACCTCTTTGACAAAGAAGAAGCAAGTCATAAGGATTAAAGCTCAGTGAAATATAACAGGGTTTTTTGTTATTGTTCAGATAAGGCCCCGGGGGCACCTGGGTGGCTCAGTCAGTTAAGGTTTGACTCTTGATTTCGACTCAGATCATGGTCTCACAGTTTGGGAGTTTGAGCTCCGTGCCAGGCTCTGTGCTGAAAGCTGTGCAGAGCTTGCTCGGGATTCTGTCTTCCTTTCTCTCTGGCCTTCCCCTGCCTGCACGTGGCCTTCTCTCTTTCAAAAATAAATAAACATTAAAAAATAATAATAAGTCTCTCAATATAGGGAGTCACCAAATGACTCTCCAGCATCCGCTCTCTTCTACTCTGCCCCTTCTCCACCTTTGTAGGTTCTAGCGGGTGCAACTCAGAGAATTCAAGGTTTAGGTCAGTGCATGTGACTGTGAACAGGGCCAAGAAAAGCCTTTTTGATGTACGCAGGAGGTAAAAATTCAGTGATCCACTCTGTTTTTTGATGGAGGGGGCCGCTTGTCCAGTGAACTCTCACATCACACTAACCAGTTTTGAGTCGATGTGTGTTTGTGTTGTGCTGACAAAAAAGGGAGGATTGGATGTACTGTAGTGTCCTCTCCCTGTGCTGCTGGGCAGCTCACCTGAGAGTCCTGTTCTGGTTCTTCGCTAAATCATGCAATGCAAGATACATGAACCTTTTTTATTCAGTGTTAACAGGTTTTATTTTAAATATTTACCCACATGCTAAACACTGCAGAACAGTCTAATAATTCTTCACATTGGTAGAGAGATTACGGTTTACAAAGCAATTTGAAGTATATTCTCTTTAGGCATCTCAGCAACCCATTGTGGGTCAGTTTAGCTTCTGAGAGCTAAGTTTGGTACCTAACTGCTATTTACAATGGGGGTCAGCAAACTATAATCCGAAGGCCAGGTTTGGCTCACATCCTGTTTTTATATAACAGCCTAAGTAAGAGCTGAGAGTGGTCTTTACATTTTAAAAAGATTGTAAACAAAAACAAAACAAGAAGATGTGACAGAGACTGTGGCCTGCAGAGCTGAAAATACTTATTGTTTGGCCCAAATTAAGTTTTGGGGCTATTACATGCTTCTACGTCAGGGATTATCTATGTTTTTGAAAGGATCTAGTCATACAGCCATGTGAGAAAACTTACAAATATGACATAAATACCATGTATGTTTTAAAATATTCTATTTATATGCATAAAATGAAGTTCCATGTTTACACACATGTAGAACGTTTCTGGAGGGATAAATAAAAATATGCCAACAGTGGTTGTCTCTGGGGATTGGTCTCTGGGAGCTCATTGGGGAAGGAAACTCATTCTCTTCAGTATGATGTGGGCTTTTTCTAATCATGAATACACATTATTTTTATACGTGGAGCATAAGGAGAGTAAAATGTCCTAACTTAAGTAAGTTAGATTTATACAGCTAAACACATAACTGTATGACCCGCTCCTGCCCCCAAATCTGGTAAATGCAGGTACAGACATTTTTACTTTTTCCTGGAGCATCACATATGGATCACAAAACCAGAAACCGCCCAGGTCACACATCAGCTGTGGAGCTGAGCCACTTTGGGGCAGGAAAACTGGCGGAACCTGGACAGCTTGTCCCCAAGGGTACACTGACGTCTTTTGTTCTTCCAGAGACAGGGTTTTGGATAAGGCATTGTGCCTCTAGGCACCTGTGTGGATGCTGTTGCTGGCATAGAGCTAAGCCATGGTGAGCACCTTAACCCAGCACTCACCAAGCCTGCGCACTTCATCCAGTCTGGACTATGGGATAGGTCTCTGCTTGTAGGATCCATTCACTCGTCAGCTCCACCCACTGTCTCTGTCTACATGTTTTATTTAGTGAGCTCACAGACTGACTGGTGGGGATTGCTCTTCCTGCGTCCCCAGAGCTGGCCCTTACTCACTGTCAGAATGGAAGCTCGGTCAGCAAGAAAGGAGAAGCTTGGAGCTGGGGATCAGCTGTGCCCACTGGGTAAGGGCGCTGTGCTGAGGTGGAGATGGGGCAGAGTAGGAGGAGGGGCAGGCTGGCCTGTTGGCAGGTGGCAGAGCAGAGCCATTCTGGGTCAGGGATGGAGTAGGGTTGTCAACTTATTTGGAGGCTCAGGCTCTGCCTGGGTTGGGGTGGAGTTGAGGTCTGGGAGAACTGGCAGAGCCAAGGCAGAACCGAGTCCCAGAGGGGTGAGGCAGGTTATCCAGGGGACCTCAGGGACCCGTGATATCAGGACCGCTTGACTCCTGTCAGGACTCCCTGCCTGGGAGTCTCTCTCTGTCTCCCTGCCCTTGCCCAACTCGCTCGCATTTTTTCTCTCCCTAAATAAGTAAATAAACTAAAAAAAGCAAAAAAAAAAAAAACCAAAACCCTTTAATAATAATAAAAAAAGAACAACTGATTTTTCTTAGTTCTTTGCCTAATGTCCTATCTTTGCCAAGATAAAAGGTCACATTGAAAGATACCTTTAATATAGTCAGACAACGTGAGTATAGAGTGCTTGCAAATGACTGTAAAGGGAAAACAATTGACATAAAATTAGTGACGCCAAGCACAGAATAGCCCCTGGGTCATGAGGTGGGAGGAGCTTGGTCGGCAGGGCTTACCCCTCTCCTCTTCCTCTGGGGAACCCTTGTACTGCCACGTGAACAACCCCAGGTTAACCGGCTGGATGATTCTCTAGTTATGCCCAAGTCCCAGCTGACACTGAACTCGTCACCACACATACAAATGCAGTTTGTCCCTACATCGCCTAGATCTGAGTTGTCCTAGACCAGAAAAACTGCCCAGCCAATACATAGAAACAGGGAAAATGTTATTTCAAGCACAAATTTTAGGGTAATTTGTTACAAAGCAAAAGCTAGCTTCTGTATGTGTACCACACTCTTGAGGGGACCAGTAGAAAGCTGATTTATCTAACAGGAGGGATTAACATGAAAAAAGTCCCAAGATGCTGAAAGGGTCTTTACAGTAGTATAGATTTTTGTGATAATAATAATGAAAGAGCAGATAAATAATGGAAAGATACTACTATTTTTTCCATTGTACATATGAGCAAACTGAGGCTCAAAGACATTTAATTACTTTATAAGACCACATAGCTAGGAAGGGGGAAGACTTAGGAGGGAAAACC